ACGGCCCAAAGAGTCTAGATAAGCATAAGTTCGTGATGGCGTTAACCACATTTTTAGTCGTTTTTGATGTTGCACATTTTCCGTATTGTTCAAATAAATAAATTAATTCAAAAAAAGTTTTTCAATTTTTCTACTGATAACAAACTAATGAAAGATCAGAATTGTGTATTTAATACCAAAACATCTTATCGAGACTGAAGTATTTCTGTACACAAATCAAACATGAGTAAATCTAGTGAAACTTTTTTGTAATGTCCAATTAAGAAAGTTACATACAATATGATGAGCCGTATTTTCAAAGTATGAAAATTGAATTTTTTTTTAATTTGTAAAAAAATGTGTCAGACGTCCGCGCAGTTTTTAGGGATTTACATTTAACTATGTTCTATCGAGTCATAAGTATTTTTACATCAAAAGTACTTATTACAAGTATTCTTTCCGACGTCGATCATAAAGAATAATGACAATGAATATGTAATAACAAATTTATTAACTTAAAAAATGAAAGTATCTATCAGAGATTTATAGTGTGAGCCAATGAACGAAGATATTTCTCTGTCGAAGATAGTTTCATGCTGAGCAATCCATTTTAGTTTTGGTGCTCTTTTTATAGAGCGTCCTAATCCTAACTCTGCGATGCATATCTCCACATAGGCCTGTTATTTTTGGAACTCCCTCAGTGCACTGTACAAGTCTGGATGGTGTTTGCCGACAATTAACCCAAAGCGATTGTGCCATCCTTCACTAACGTTATTTGTTTTTCGAGTCCCTGCTAGCACAGCATCATACTGATTCCATAACTGTATAGGAGAACGTGGAGGTGTAGCTTTCTTAGGACGTCTTCCTTGAACTGCTGGAATGCCAATAACATAGTATTCGGAGAAGTAATTGAAGACAGTCTTCAGTGCACTTGGAGCTTCTTTTTGAAAAGCTTTAAATGTTGGCAACACATCGTCTACGGGAACATAAGCTAGGGCCATCATCATATGTACAAAATTTGAAATACTTGTGAAAATGGTTGTCGGGAAATTTTATTCGGGAAAATGGTTTTCGTGAAATTGGATTCGGGATTTTCGATTGTCGGGAAAAATACTTGTCGTGAAAATGGTTGTCGTGAAAGCGGAGTCGGGAAAGTGGGGGGGAACCATTTTGTGAGTACGAGTGCCGGTTACGCTTGCACGAGAAGAGAACTGTTTCACGCAATTTCTGGGGAAAAAGCTTGGCACTTGCTGCATACGACATTTTATGAAATACTATGCAAAAAGTGCACAAATAACGAGCATGATATCTCACAAAATATCAGAAATTTTACCGCTTAACAGTGTCCAAAAACGCTTTTTGTGCACTAAAAAGTGTGCCCAAAAGGGGATTTTTCGCTTTACAATTGCATAATAGTTTTTTATGCAATAGTATGACGAAAAATGTCTTTTTTCGCACATTTTTTAGTGCGCCAAAAGCGTTTTTGGACACTTGTGTGCGGTAAAATGCCCCATTTTGGACACGGGTGTGCGGTAAAACGCCTTATTTTAATGAACGTATTTTTCGCCTACTATTGCATAAAATTTTGTATGCAACACGTGCCCAGCTTTTTGGGCACTTGTTACATAAATAACTATTTTCGCACATTTTTTAGTGCGCAAAAAGCGTTTTTGGGCACGAGTGTGCGGAAAAAGACACGAGTGTCGGCTATGCCAGCACGTTGATTTAATAATTTTCAAGGGTACTAAGAATTTTCTCTGAAACAATAACAGTTGTAGAATTGAAAAAATATTTTATTGCTTCAAAATTTTGCATATATTTCTATTTATTTGAATGATATCTCTGATTGGCCGAAAATTGGATGGTGGCCAAGCACATTCACCCTCTTTCAGATATGTTAGATGTTTTGGATGTTGATATGACCTCTGAAATCCCAGCCCTCTAAAGGTTAAATGTGTTAGATGTGTTAGCTTTTTCAATGATTTAAAAATTGGATGAGCTGAAAATTCTCTTTCAGCTCGTGCCATCATCGCTCATTTTTTTAAAAAGCCATTACTGCACCCGTTGAAAAATATAATATTTTTGTTCTGCAAATATAAATAAGCGTTGGAACATGATTAAATTGGGGTTTTTGTACAGGTATTGTAAAAATTAAATGATTTAGTATCATTTTAACCAGTCAGTACAACCCAAAAATAACGAAAATTCTCGAAGAAGTTTTTACAGGGGCCAGATCGGTGACCTGGTGCACCAGGTCGACAGAATCCGGTTCTACACTTTACAATCAGTCACTACGATCCGAAAATAACGAAAATTCTCGATGAAGGTTTCACGTGGGCCAGATCAGCGACCTGCTGCACCAGGTCGACGGAATGTGGTTTGACACTTTTTACACATTCAGCACAACCTAATAATAACGAAAATTCTCGAAGAAGTTTTCACAGGGGCCAGATCGGCGACCTGGTGCACCAAAACACACTTATACTCACGCCAAACACACTATCACGCATCCATAACACACTTATGCACATAATAAACACACTATCGCGCATCCAAACACACTCATACACATACCAATAACATCTAATAAATAGAAAAATATATCATAAAATTCGGCGGAAATTTTGTACCGAAGAAGCCTTCACAGGGGCCAGATCGGTGACCTGGTGCACCAGGTCGACGGAATGTGGCAATCAGACCTTCAGCTGACCGCCCTCAACCACCCTAGTAAATTTCAGACCATTTCGTAACGCCGTTTTCCAGGAACCGTTGACACAAAATAGGTTAAAAAGTACCGAGCTGAAAGGATAAGAGACTTCGCTTCGCTCAGCATTAATAAATATTGCATATTAATATTTATTTTTCACTTAACTAAAGCTGCAATAAATTATGGGACAAGATTCACATCCAAGTATACAAAATTGATTTTTTTATCCAACATGTTTTTTTAATAATCAGCCTCGTATGTTTTTTCGTCTGGAACACACTGAGCTTTTATCCCCGCGGGCTTCAAAAATCGATGCTAGTCAAGCTATGATAATCAACTATAGTCCAGTCAAGTATAGCTCACACACGTGTTCCGATGGGAAAACCAATTTTGTAGTACGAGCACAAAACTAATCGACTACAACACACATATCGCTCGTGTTTCATATGAGAACTCGAGCTTTCAAGTATACCATGCGCGCGCGAGACTATTGCGTGGAGCTTTTGTTTCGATACGCTATAATTTAATGTATACCTTACCTTATCGAGTCTCGACTCGATATCGCTCGTTTTGGTCGTTGTTGTTGTGTCGAAAAAAATAAACGTAACAATCCGTTGAGGGAGGATCGGGGCTGTTACTACTACACATGATACGCGTGAGAAATTAATAATTACTTTTTTATCTCTTCCACTCGAGCCAGTTTATAATCGATAAGTCGTTTTCGGGACGCGCTCGATGATTTGTTTTTTCACATCTCGTCACGTATATAATATCTCCTCCTTGCAATCACAGCAAATATTTAACGCGCTCGAATTGATCTCTCTTCTGCATGAGTTTACGTGTGCAATAATACTCGAGCGAGAATTACTTGTTGTGTACACGCGTAACACAAAGTGTCGCGCGGCAATTGGCGCGCATGCTGCTGCGGGATAAAAACTCTCATGTACTGCATACTATAACTTGACGGACTGCAGCGAGGATCCGCCGAGGATTATACCTTCCCCCGGGAAACTCGTAATACCTCGAGACGTGTACACGACACATGTGTAACTGCTGCAGCGCGTCGCTCAACCAACGACTCGCGTGCACTACGCGCTACAGCACTCGTTATGTCATAATTTTCATTGGCCTCTGCCGCTGGCGCGCTAATCCGCGCGAGGAGCAGTGCCCCCGCGAGAGAGAGAGAGAGATGTCATTCCGAGAAGACGACGACTTAATCCTTGTCGACGTACGTGTATATGCAGCAGCAGCCTAGAGATGATTCGCGATCGAGTACTGTATAGCGCAAAAATCATGCCCTTATCGCGGAGAGATTATTACTATATACGTTGGACGCGCGAGGCGTATGTCGGATTTATTAGTACGAGCGTCAGTATATGATGTATTTGTTAAGGGGAATGTGCGGTAACGTCGTATCAACGCCGATGAACGATGAAAGATTCGAGAAAAAATAAATTATGATATTTCGGACAAAAGGTTCAAGCGATCTTTATCAGAGTTACCGATCTTTTGAATTTAAAACAGAAAAAGAGTCCCACGTGTTTATCGTTACGATGGCAGTTGTTAGGTATTATAATGCACACACATATAGAGTCCTGGAAGAGCTTCTCCGCGCTTTCATAAATACGTGTATTTGCGTATACGAGCTTTGAATCGGGCGACGCTGACTCGTCGTCGTCGTCGTCGTCGTCGTCGTCGTCGTCGTTCGTTCGTCCGTTCGTTCGGTTGTTGCTATTTTCTCGGAGACTTAACGGTGATTGCACGAACTATTCACGATTTCCATAAGTCACTCGGCGAGAGAGCGAGGACTCTCTTTTTCTGCCCCCGAGTCGAGAGAGAGAGAGAGAAAGAGAGAAGAAGATGCGCTCGCGACTAGCTCGTGATTTATGACCAAGACTTGAAATGCTACTATAGCATCTTCGCCATGCAGCACACACACACGTGCATACACGTACGTATAAATTTATAAGGGAATATATACCTACTACCTGCAAAATCGATGGAGCCTGGCGCAGCTGTCTCTATGCAGATCACGTACCTATCTTATACCGTGTGTATGTGTGGTGGTGCACCTTTGAACGCATATAATGCATTCACAATGCACATAGCTGAACGTGCACAGCTCGCGCTACTATACATGCACGTATATGTACCGAAAATTCGGGATTTCAAGAGAGGTCTTTCGAGACTACTCATGCTGACTCTGTAAAAATCTCAAAGCGTTAGATCGAGTTTGCTAAAGTGTCAGTGAAAGTAGAAGGCATGCACGGATATTTCATTAATTACACTTGAAGGATAGTCAGAGTACAAATACTGCTGTTTATAGTAATAGTTTTATTTATAATAATAAGGCAAAGACATCAGTTACATCATTGTTTTATATTACATGTAATTTCGTTTAGTCAGTTGAATCTTTTTAATTAAAAATTCATTTCATCGACTCGTTTTGTCAAGTTACATGTTACACATTTCAAAGATCATCTTTCGCTGCTCAGAGCAGCACTACAGTAAATTGATCCCAAAACATTTGTTTAAATAATTGTTTCTTCACAGGATTTCATGATCGGTTAACAAAATATCAACTTAAAAGAAAAGTATTATAATAATTTCTTTTGGTTAATAGTAATGACGCATTAAATCTTAAAAATAGTCTTTGAGCAATACTTTATATGCGTAATAATACATTAAAATTATGCAAATGGTACAGAGGATTATTTTAAAATCACAAATGCAAGTCGCATACAAAAAAAAATAAAAGTGAAATTGCCTGAGAAGTATGATGTAGAGTACATGAATTTTTTTATCTATTAAAATTAGAATACTTAAAAAGTATTGGCTATAATTGAACTATTATGCTTTGACTTAGTTTGGAAATCAATAATTTTCACCACAATAGATAAGTTTGTACTCGTTAAAATTTGTAAATACATTACAAAAATACTTCTTGTGTCTATATTATTAACAGTCTGAAAAAGTCTTCCCTAGAAGTATAATAGTACAATTTGTGCAATCGATAATAAGATTATTGTTCACCTATACGCTTGAATATTATTTTCACGATAAAATGTTTAAAAACTCACAAAAATATATGCATCACACACGCTTTAATCAAGTAATGTCAGCTTTTTTGTTCATTTAATTTTACAGCTGACTGGTTAAATTTCAAATATTATATTTACGAGTCATGGTATGAATATTTTGATTATCCAATAAATGTATTTATAAAAAGTAGAGTGAGTCTTAGTGTTTGTCTACAAATCATATGGGTACTTAAATTTGTAAGGTCAAAATGAAAATCAAATATTTTTTTGGCATGAACATTTGTATAATTAAAAATTACCAAGAATAAGTATTTGATTTTTTGCACAGCTTTATAACTAAAGCTTTGGTTAAATAAATGTTCATTCAAATTTCTTAATAGATTTTTTCATTAGTAGATAATGAAATCAAGACAAAATGAACTACTAAAATCAATTTTCACCTAGAAAAACTTAAACTTGTGCTGCAAACATTACGGCGAAAATGACTCAACTCAATAAGCCACAACTACTGAGATTATTCTGAATTATCACATCAGTCACAGCGTCAAATACAAATTGTATATTACTTGTATCCGTGGCACAGGTGAAATGAGAATATATTTGTTTTTGTTCTTTACGATTGTTCAAATCTTCGAATTTCATTTGTATATAAGAGGCACAAGCTTCGAAAGTATTTGGTCCATTGTATTCGGGGAAGCATATTTTCAACGGACTCCTGGTTATTTTTTCCTCGAATATATCTTTCTTGTTGAGGAAAAGAATGATCGAGGTGTCGACGAACCACTTACTGTTGCATATGGACTCGAAGAGCTTCATGGACTCGATCATGCGGTTCATCTCCTCGTCCTCAGCCAGTACCAGGTCGTACTCGCTCAGCGCCACGCAGAATATGATCGCGGTGACGTCCTCGAAGCAGTGGATCCACTTTTTGCGCTCGGAGCGCTGACCGCCCACGTCGAACATCTTGAACTGCAGACCCTTGAACGAGAAGCGGGTCTCGACGATACCCGTCGTCTTGATCCTCGTCTTGAGCACGTCCTGCTGCGTGGGCACGTAATCGGGCTCGGTGATGCGATACAGCGAGTTGAGATAGTAGGCAGCCGAGTCGTTGAGCTGGTACTCGCGGCTGCGCGCGAAGCACTTCTGCAGGTCCGGGTCCTCCCACAGGGACTTCATCAGCACGGCCATCTCGCGGCTCATCTCGCCCTCGGCGCGCGAGCCCGCGAGGGCGAAGTACTCGCGGGCGATGGCGTACTTGTTCGGATCGGCGAACTTGATCTGCAGCGACTCCATGGCGCGTATGATGGTGATGAGGCTCTGTATGGTGTTGCTGTAGACCACGGACTTGTACTGGTTGCACTCCTCGACGCTGTAGCCGGTCTCGTGGATGATCTTCATCTGCTTGACGATGGTGGACTTGCCGGACTCGCCGGCGCCCAGGAGCAGCAGCTTCACCTCGTTGGCGATGCGCTCGCCCTCGGCCCTGAGATCCTTGTCGATCTTCTTGGACCGCTCGGCCGCGGCCTTGTCGAGGTGCGAGCTCGATGCGCAACCCATTTTACCGGCCAAAGGATACACCTGCAATCAATCGAACGAACGACACTTCATTTGTTATGGTGAACAGCTGATAGATACGATATTTTTTTAACAATGTACTTGTAATAATATGTGACACGTTAATCGTGAGCAGGCAAAGTTAAGTGCCTCGTTTGTAACGCTCGCGTTTTATTATTATTATTATTTTTTTTTTAACAGAGCTCGTGTTACGTCAATTATCGTGAAATTACACGTAACGAACACGATGCTCATCGCCAGAGAAACAAACGTTTTTATAGTTAAAAGAACGAGCGAATAATAAATTCTGCAATTATCGAATTTTTAACGTCGCGCTCACGATTACGTTTGTTGATTATCGTCGGCTGTCGAGAGTCTCGGTAATAACGATACCGCGCGGAGCAATGACTTCGCGAGGTGTCAAAAATATACACGAGTAAAAAAAAAAAAGGTAAACAATGTACACGAAGACGACAGAAGACCAATTAGCATACCGGTTCCGTGCATCACAGTATCGAATGAAAAGTAAGATTTCTGCTGTATTTCTTCCGTCGTATACGTTCGTGTAAACAAAAAAGGGGGGTTAGGATACGCACGGCTCGGAGAGTCGGTTCGTGCGTATGTACACATTTACGAAGCGTTGCTGAAATGCAACCGCATGCCTGCGTGTCTGCGTGTGTGTGTGTGTGCGCGCGTTTGCGGGATAATTGCGATTATTAACAATCGTACCGGGCAAGGGCAAGCACGTATATTAATATATAGATAATGTGTATATACCACACACTTGTACACGGGGATGACGAATTGATGATCTCAGCCGTAGCTGCCGCCGTGTGTCCTCGGCTGCGCGCTTTGAAGCGCGCGTGGAAAAATTTTATATTTTATATGTATAAGGCACTTTTCGCGGTAGATTATTTTTTTGTTCTCCTTCGCACTAACGCACAGAGGCACGAGAAACTTTAATGCACACACACAATTGAAACACAAGACAACAGCGAGCGCACGTTTTGTTTATTTTTGGCGAGCACCACGACGAAAAACAAACGAAAAAACGAACAAAAAAAAAAAAAAACAACAACGCACAGTACAGACTCGCGCGATGTGCAGGATGATTGGCGCATACGGGGGCCCACGACAAAACGACTACTACTGCCGCGGCCAGCGACGTCAATTGGAGGCTTACGAGTCAGTATACGCCATATGTGTACTGTATAGGTACGTAGGTGAGTACTCGCGTTTCGTCGTGTATGTGTATACGTACGCTACTATACATGCACAAGTATGTGCGTGTGTGTATTCCGAACCGACACGCCCTTGGTCGTACGCTACTCGCTGCGCCGTTTTGTACTTATATATACTGGCTATGTGTTGTGTATTATATATCGCCCGCACAATGATGTGCTCTATATATAAAACGTCGCGCGCTGCACTGTTTGTGTATATAGCTATATATTTTTAGTCGCCCGTACACCGCCTTATATACAATACAAAAAGTCGCGGCGCGGGACCGTTACGAGACTACAAGGTATTATAACGAGGGTGCGAAGAAGAAGCTACTACTGCTTTGCGCCCGATTCAGCGAGGAATAATATTATATGTAAGAAGTCGGACTCTGCCTGTTGCAATACGACGCGTGTCGGCGTGTGCTCATATGTTCTCCATGCTGCTGCTGCTGCTGCAACAAGAGAGTCATCTATGTATAATACACGCACGCATACACATGTACTGTATAACGATAGCAGTCGCATTGCATCAATCTCGCGGGTTACGATGATATCGAAGAAGATGGATTCTTCGATCGGCCGAGTGGGCGAACGATAAACAACCCAAACACGACCGATCTGCTTATCAATTGCGAAAGAAAGACAGAATATTATTCAATATACCTATATGAGCTTAATGTAGAAACGACGATTGCGCGTCCGCCCGTTCGTTCGTTATTTCTCGTCTGCTGTGCTTATGTGTAGTTGTTTCACACTTGACAGTAACACACACACACACATACACGACACTATACAATACACCGCACACGCACCGAATTGATGCCGACTGCTGTACTGACTTCCATACACTACTACCAATTCATAATATACGAGCGAGCCGATTAGTCAGAGAGACTCGAAGACGACTCTCGCGAGCCGCAGTCGTTTCTATCTCTTTCTATATATCTGTATCTCTATCCGTCTCGTTCTGGCGCCTTACGGCCCGCCGCGCTACGCTGCTGTAAAGTTACAACTTCTCGTACATACGAGGTATATAGTACGGACTACGGACACTGACCGCGCGCCGACTTATATACCGACTCCTATAATGTAATATCAACCTGCGGACGACGACGACGACGCACACACGCACGTATGTACGCAGCGATGTGAAACGCACACTCGCGTATTCTCACACTGTAGTGCTTACCTTATATTATGTGCTCGAAGGTTGAGGCACACGCAGGCAAATGTGCGGTATCGCGGGGACTTGGGCCCGGTAGTGGAGAGGACAGTTGGCGCGCGAGCTCGTATCGCATTCGAGTCTGCTCGGAATTCAAAAGTTTATGCACGCGCGGACTTGCGCATTGCGCACTTTGCATTGAACTCCATTGACGCGCGGCGCCGGGCGTAAGTGTTTACGCGACAGAGTAGATGACGTTGTATTTCTTACGCACGATGATCTCGACGTTGCGTAGAAGATTTTTTAAAGTAAAAACTGGATAGCGAAAAACGAGTTGCAAACACTCTTCTCTGTTCAAAAACTGATGGCCTGATCGTGTCACGTGCGTAATAAACGCGTTGCGCTTTTTTTGTTTGCATATGAACTTTCTATGCGACTCGTGAATGCACAACGAATTAATAATTGTATTCGTGAATATATGTTTGATTACATGTAATAAGAATTTTTGGTGCATGGTCGCGATCGGAGACGAATTATTTTGCAATTATTATTCGTCCTCGGATATACGAATCGGATGAGTTGAACTAATTAAATAGTTTTTTGCAGAGATTTTTATCGACCATTCAGGCCGTTGATTCTTTGAGGGTACGGGAAACAGTTGTGGGATCGACGCGATCAAGTTCATGAATAATTATCGATTTATTAAAAATATTTAGAGAACGAATTGAATAAGTATGCACAGTTTGAAATGTTTTATTGTTTTTAAGGCATTATTACAGGATATTGATAAGAATTTTTTATAAAATTTTCGAGGTCTTAAATGCTTACAAATTTCTCTGCACAGATTTAACACTTGATGTTTTGCTACGATCGTGTATTGAATTTACGTGATAATTGAGATGCCTTTTCTGTGCAAATGATTTGTGGCAAATATCGCACTGGAAGGGTTTGCTACCAATAATTGCTTTTAGTCCAAATGATTTGTGACAAATATGACATTCAAAGATTTTGCTACGATGATGTACCACATTTACGTGAGATTTGAGACTAATTTTCTGTCCAAATGATTTGTGACAAATTTCACATTCAAAGGGTTTGATACAATTATGTACTGTATTTATATGTTTTTTGAGATCACTCTTATAGCCGAATAATTTGTGACACATCTCGCACTCAAAGGGTTTGCTTCGATCATGGACTGAATTAATATGAATATTGATGTAACTCTGGCTTGAAAATGATTTGTGACAGATCTCACATTCAAAGGGTTTGCTACGATCATGTACTGCATTTATGTGAACATTGAGATGTATTTTCTGTGCAAATGATTTGTGGCAAATCCCGCACTCGAAGGGTTTGTTACCATAGTGTATTACGTTTATGTGAGTTTTGAGATTATTTTGATATCCAAATGACTTGTGACAAATATCACATTCAAAGATTTTGCTACGATGATGTACCACATTTACGTGAGCTTTGAGGTACCTTTTTTGTCCAAATGATTTGTGACAAATCTCACACTCAAAGGGTTTGCTCTGATTATGTACTGCACTTATATGTCTTTTAAGGTCACTTTTTAGTCCAAATGATTTGTGACAAATTTCACATTCAAACGGTCTTTTCCGATCATGTATTGTATTTATGTGAGATTTAAGGTGACTTTTTTGTCCAAATGATATATGACAAATGTCACACTCAAAGGGTTTTTTCCGATCATGTACTCCTTTTATGTGATCTTTAAGTATATGCTGGTACCCAAATGATTTGTGACAAATATCACACTCAAAGAGCTTGCTACGTTTATGAACTGCATCAGTATGCGTTTTAAAGTGATGTTGGTGTCCAAATGACTTGTGACAAACACCACATTCGAAGGGTTTGCTGCGGTCATGCACTGTCATTATGTGAGTATTGAGATGACTTTTGTATCCAAATGATTTATGACAAATTCCACATTCAAAGGGTTTGCTAAGATAATGTACTGCAGTTAAGTGAGATTTAAGGTGATACTTGCGGCCAAATGATTTATGACAAATTCTACATTCATTTAATCGGGAATCTACTTTGAATTGACAGTTATTATCATAATCAAACTGCTTTTTTATCAAAACTATCAGAACTTTGTTAAAAAAATAATTTGTCTGAATTGGTTTTTCTATTTTTACAATAGATGGGTAACTTTGATACTCAGTTTTGCAAATGGTTGTTGATAAAGGTTTCAGTTCAGGTTTCACATCTTTGCACTCAAATTCTACGAATATTTTTTCGTTTGATTTTTCTTGTAACCCCATAGCCTCATTCGGGATATTAGCCTAAAATTAAAATTGTATAATGTAAATTGTATAATTAAAATTGTGTAATTGTAAATGGCTTGTGATAGTGAAAAATTGAATCACAATGTAAATGATTAAACTCACTGGTGTAAACTGGAATGTGTCCAAGTTTATTGGTCTACTAGATTTCACCGATTTAGGATCATAATCATTGTCTGCATCTGACCAAAAATCATTAGGTTCTTTTTTCGCCCTATGGAATATTAAAAGTCTAATGAAGCGATCGTTTTAAAAAAACATCATGGCATGCACAAAAAAATTAATACCTAACCGCGTCCGCTCCGCTTTCCATTGTCACTCGTTTGATTACGAGTAATCACTGTAAATTTTCACGATTTGCACTTGGAAAATAATGGAGGTTATGTGCCTCGAGTAACCAAGACCATACCTCGAGTTGACCAATTTGTAAACATTAGTTCACTGTAGGAATTGAGCTCCTCAGTCCTCGTTAGCGGCTGTTCGCACTAAGCTCAGCGAAGCGACTCGCAGTGACTGATATAGATTCTTGTCGACACTCTCCCTCTCCATTGAAAACTGGACATACACAGATAGGCACACAGCGGCGGTACACTCATTGAAACATTCGCACGTCATCAAAACAGCACCAAAATTTGAATGAAAACGCATTTAGGTGCAAAAATTGTCTCGTACATTATTATCATCAATAATAGCAAGAAAAATGTCTGTCTCTTTAATGTCTTAATGTTTTAAATATTGTAATGATTATACATAAATAAATAAATCGGTAACTTAATTGTAAACAATAAAATGATTAACGATTTTGACATATTCCCTCGACACACTGATATTGTTTATAGTAAAATCAAATTAGTACGAACGTTGTCTTTCTCAATCGAACAAGTCATAATACGAGAAAATAAATTTTACTCATTCAATTTTCATGGTAATTCATAGAAATAATAATCATTTATTTTAAGCACCAAAATGTTGTTTCGAAAAATAATTCATATGAGCAAGACATTGTAGTTTCTGTCGACAAACAATACGTTTGTGAAATTTGTCAGAAGCCATTTACATTATAGAATCAATCATGATAACTCAACGAGATACAATTCCCAACGTAAAAAAATATTACTCATGCGACAAGTGCGAAAAGAAATTTGAGTTTCGAAGTCATTTGAGTAGACACCAAATATCGGTACACAAAGGATGGAATGATTTTTCATGTGAGCAGTGTGAAAAGAAATTTGTCAAGAAATCAAGTTTGTTTACGCACAAAAAATTATTACACAAAGATAGCGAAAATATCACTTGCAAAAAGTGCGAGAAAAAGTTTGAAAATAAATCGACTTTATTCAAGCACAATAGAATATTCCACGAAGTTTTCAAAAATTATTTATGTGAAAAGTGCGCGAAGAGATATGATACTAAACATAGTTTGCTCTTGCACATAAAGAATATACATGATGATCGCAAAGACTTCGCATGCGACAATTGCGAAAAAGTATTTAAACAAAAACCGAATTTGCTCATGCACATAGAAACGGTCCACGAAGGTCGCAAATATTACACGTGCGACAAGTGTGAGAAAAAATTTGAGTTTTTAGGCAAATTGATAAAACATCAAAAAACAGTCCACGAAGGCGAAAGAAATTTCGCATGCGACAAGTGCGAGAAGGTATTTGGACAAAAATGGGAATTGATCAGGCACCAAAAGACAGTCCACGAAAAACACAAAGGTTACGCATGTGACAAATGCGAGAAGAAATTTTCCCAAAAACAGTATCTACTTTTGCACCAGAAGACAGTACACGAAGGCCGCAAAGATTACGGGTGTGAAAAATGCGAAAAAAAATTTGGACAAAAATGGGAATTGATCAGGCACCAAAAGATAGTACACGAAGGTCGCAAAGATTTTATATGTGATAAGTGTGATAAAAAATTTAAACAAAAACAGTGTTTGCTCATCCACCAAAGGACAGTCCACGATGGTCGAAAAGATTTCGCATGTAACGATTGCGACAAAAAATTTGGGGTTCGAAGCAATTTGATCAAACACCAGAAAATAGTCCACGAAAGTCGCAAAGATTACGCATGCAACGATTGCGGGAAAAAATTCGGAAAACGAAGTGATTTGAAAAAACACCAAAAGATAGTACACGAAGGTCGCAAAGATTTTACATGTGATAAGTGTGATAAAAAATTTAAACAAAAACAGTGTTTGCTCATCCACCAAAGGACAGTCCATGATGGTCGAAAAGATCATGCATGTAACGATTGCGACAAAAAATTTGGGGTTCGAAGCAATTTAATCAAACACCAGAAAACAGTCCACGAAAGTCACAAAGATTACGCATGCAACGATTGCGGGAAAAAATTCGGAAAACAAAGTGATTTGACTAGACACCAAAAAATAGTACATGATGGTCAGAAAGATTTCGTATGCAACAAGTGCGAGAAGAAATTTGGACAAAAATCAGATTTTCTCAAGCACCAAAGGGTAGTTCACGAAGGTCGCAAAGATTTCACATGCGATAAGTGCGAAAAGAAATTCGGAACAAAATCGTATTTGCTCCATCACCAAAAAATAGTCCACGAGGGTCGCAAAGATTATGCATGCAACAATTGTGAGAAGAAATTTGGGAGTAAGTCACATGTGATCAGACATAAAAAAAGAGTCCACTAAAGTCATAAAGATCATGAATGCGACAAGTGTGAGAAGAAATTTGGAGAAAAATCAGATTTGTTCAAGCACCAAAGAGCCATCTACGAAGATCGTTAAGATTTTGCATGCGACAAGGGTGAGAAGTCATTTGGGAAAAAATTAATTTGACGAGACACCAAACATTCGTTAACGAAGGTTGCAAAGATTAGGCATGCCGACATTTCAAAAAGAAATGATGATTGACAATTGTATATAAAAGTATATAGGCACTTATAGAGATGTTTTTTCTAAAATTTCAATAAAAATAGAGCCTATATGATTGTGTCTTACCTAAGCCTCGGGTACATTAAATAATATTAAAAACGTGATTATGCTCAAAAATGTTGTTAACGGGCCTATTGGTTCAAACAAACTATAGGGGGCTTGATCATTATAGGTACCAAGAGACCACGTATACATTTTCAGGTCCAGAGATGAAAGGTTCTCCATGTTAATAGACTTCGCTTCGTATGTGCGTACACTATTTTCCATATGAGTCCCTCAGTCTTAATACGAAGAAATTTCGATGTAACGCTTGGTCTAAAAAGAGTCAACTGTAATAAAAAATTATCATGTAAATTATTTAAAAAAAGAGTTCGTTACTTTGAAAAATTAGTAAAAGCAGTAAACACAGAAAATCGACCGGAAAAATATTTTTAAAGGGCCGAAAGATCGAAATATAATTGCATGGTTTTTACTTGTAAAAAGATGTTATTATGTTATCTGATTGTGGGTACTGCCACCCAATAGATCTAGCCTCTGCTGGTCATCATTTAATCACGAGTAATTTTTTTTATCTCTGTGTTAGACAATTTTGTCTACATCGGGAATAGAGACGTTGAGAATTTGAGTAAACGTTCGTTAGCCGTATTAATATCGATCGATTTGTTAACCAACTCATTGTATTATGGGGATATTATTATTGTTTTAGATCAGCTGAATTTAGTCGTTGCTCAGACACAGAGAAATTCGCGGTCTGTGATCAACCGACGATCGACGCGGTGCCGAGATCTAGCTTTAAGCTCCCCTCTACTATATACTAGTAATCAGATTTCATGCTTCCGAAACGTCACTGTCGTGACAGTCGATGTTGCTCGACTCGGAAGTGATTGGAAAGTCCAGCGAAGTAGGAGCGACGACTATTGCCTTACCACGTGCCGTCGCAATTATTGCCGCGGCATGCCATACACGTGCGATTTGCTCTCGTTACTCTACGCATCTCGAGTGCCACTTCTACCTCTCGTTGCTTCCGACGCGTGCTTATTATTGCTCTGTATAATTCAAATCGTATAGGTCAGTACACGTTACGGCGCCGCTGCGTATACAGACAGGCTATATACGGAGATCGCATCGACCGCAGCGAGTGATTATCGTGAAAAAGAAAAAAAGATGAATATCGAGCGATCGACAATGGATCATATCGAAATCTGGCGGAGAGAAATAGCGCACTCTTTTCATCATATTTTGAATATGGACCGTTCTGATCTGAAATGCTTGTATGAAAAAATAGGAAATACCAAAATAAATTCAGGGATATTCTCGACGCTTCCGGCAAGGAGAAGTTTAGCGCAACTGGAGTTTATACGAAAAAGTGTCAATTGGGAGTTCGAGTACGATCGACATCGCCTTTACATTATGCTTTGTGAATTAATAAGATTTTGGGAGGGTCCAGTTCCGAAGCTCGAGGACATTTTTCGGGCAGAAGAGATCGAATACTTACTCATAGAGTCCATGAAGTCCAACAAAAACCACGTAATCGAGGCAGATTTACTCTTCGAGTTCATCGCGGAGACCGGCTACAAGGACAAACCTTTAGGGGGCGAACCATCCAAGCTTCGCACGACCGCGGTACACCAAGCGGCCAGACGTTATTTCTCCGACAGATCGAGACAGATACGCCGTGAGCTTTTTGATATATACGACAATTTCGAGATGAACTACACGGACGATTCCGGCCTCAGTCACTTGCACGTGGCCTGTGTGTCCGGTTGCGCGAAGGCCGTGGAAAAATTCCTCGAGCACGGCCAGGATCCCAATCTCGTCTGGGAAGAAACGGGTGACACGCCGCTGCACATGGCTCTGGCTAACGGTTGCAAGAACCTGATCCGATTGCTGCTGAGCCGGGGCGCCGATCCCAACGTGGCCAATAAAGAAGGATTGACCGCTCTGCACGTTCTTTGCCAGAGAGAAAACGACGACGGCCACTTGTCCGAGATATTTTTCGATACCGTCCAGGCGGAGGCGTTGACGGTCGATGCCCTGGATGCGTACGGAAACGCCCCTCTGCACTTCGCCGTGGACAATCGATTGAGCGTCGCGACTGAATCGCTGCTGCGACTAGGCGCCAACCCTAATTTGACGAACGAGGACGGATCGACTGCTCTGCACGTCGCATGCTCGAAGTACGACGAGGTTAAATTGGTCGAGATGTTATTGAACGCGAACAAAGATCCCTCGGTGCACGTAAATGTCCGGGACAGGATGGGCCGTACACCGCTACACTTGGCCTTGGAATTAGACAACGAGAGGACAGCCGAATTACTGCTGAGAGCAGGAGCCGATCCAAACCTTCCCGACGACAATGGATCGACTCCTCTGCACGTCATTTGCAGCATCAAGGGCCACGACGACGACTCGTTGAAAAAGTTCTTCGATGTCAACGACAGATTGCTGCGGATCGTGCACGTCGATGCCCGAGACACGATGGGCCGGACACCGTTGGACGTGGCTCTGGCACGCGGCAACTCGAAGCTGATCGAATTACTGCTGAGCAGAGGCGTCGACTCGTGCACGGCCTATCGGGATGGATCCACTCCTCTGCACCACATTTGCAATATGGAGGGAAACGACGATGGCTTGTTGAGGGCGTTCTTCAAATGCACCGACGCATTTGGTCGGACGGTGAACGTCGATGTCCGAGACGCGGAAGGCCGGACACCTGCGGACGTGGCTTTTATCCGCGGCAACTCGAAGTTGATCAAATTGCTGGTGGCGAGAGGCGCCGACGTGTCTTTCGCCAACGAGGACGGACGGGTGCAGATCCGCGAGGCTCGACCGCTACCTCCGCTGATCCGCGAGATCGAAAAAAAGTCTCTGCGGCTGCGCGAGATAGACACGAAGGACGAGAAGGCGGCTCTGCAGATCCGTAAGATTCAAAAAGAATTGATCCGTTTGAAGGAGGAATTCATGAAGCCAGTAAGGTGTAATGAGTGCGGCAGTATGTTAGCTAAAATTTAAGCTCTTCAAATTCGAGAAAGTCAATAAATTTGATCAAAGAATTGTATAAATTCATAAAATTAATAAATTCGTGCAACATTAAGATAACTGAAACCCAAGAACATGTGAATAATTCCTCAAAAAATAGTTTAACTGGAAAGTAAAAGGCAGAATAAAACCGAACAAATTGACTGGTCATAGTTATTGGCGCACGGTAATGTCAGAAAATGAATCATCGCGCGAGCTCTTCGGGCTTGACGTAAATATTTATTTTTATAAATCAACGAACGACATCGACGTAAACTTCGAGACTCGAACTATATGAGTTTCAAGTATCACCTATTTAAACTCTATATAAATCAGCTCCTTCGTAAACCTAACGCAAGGAGAGTCACTATACGAAGAAAAATAAATTAGATCTACTAATACAGCTGCTGCAGATGCACTGGCGCTTTTTCCGACTTCGAGCGAATTAAAATCGAGCTTTTTTTATATACGTTCGTTACTCAGCGAATAAAAAAACATTTGCCGCTGTCAAATTTGTCTGTATTTACTACCAATCTAGTTGGAGTTTGGTTTTCTACTTTTTAAAACACTTGTCGTGAGCGTTATTTTTAGATCATAATAGAGATGCTCAACATTAATAATGGCCCTGGTGAAAGAAGCGTGATTACTGGATGTTCTACTTCACCAACCGGAGGAGTAAAAATTATTATTTGTTCACCCCGTGCATTAATTGGCTTATTCTTGGTAATTTTGATATTAAACATTTAAACCAGTTTTCAATCACTTTAAATACGATAATGTAACATCAATCCTCCACCACTAGATGGCGAGTATCTTCATCTGTAAATGCGCAAGTGGTAAATTGAAAATGATCGTATAAGTCGAAATAATTAATCTATAATGGGTTGCAAAGGAGTGTACCCTTGTGTTGTACACTGTACCATACATAGCAACAGAACTTGCAAATTCTCTAATATTTCTTCAGTAATCTCGTATCATATACAATTATCGATCGTCAACGATAGAAGCTCACGCACATCCAGGCGAAAGCGTCAATGTCCTACACAAACTGATATCTATCTATCGATTATTTACAACGTTTTACGAGACATTGCTACAATGAGTATATTTGTAAAAAATTGAGAATCATGTTAAATTGCGTATCATTTAGCACGCTGCAAGTTATTAATTTTTTTAAAAGTGATCGTATATTTCCAGAAAAGGGTTTGGACTTTCCAATAATTTTAGTGTGTGTACTCAATCGAAAGTTTATAATTTTTCCTACCAAATGGTATATTTTTATTATTGTCACTTTGAATAAGAAAACATTGCAAGCAATACAAAAATTGTGTCTAAATGTTTGAAAACAGGCATCATTTTTATCGACATTTTAGGATATCTCATATTTCCGATGACTAATAATGAAGCTTTTTTTCGAGAATTACTTATGATGCATTGAAACACTTTTCAAGTATGACGATATTTAAATTTTATTTATACATTTTCCATTACCATTGAAAATGGACATACAATGAATATTTTTACATCAATGAAAATCTATGATGAATAATTTCTAACAATTTTTCAATTGTGTCCAACTTTTCATTCTAAACGATCGTTAAAATAAGTTGACTTGCATTCGGCGAGCCCAATGGCAGATACGAACAATTCACAAATATAGAAGCTCGAAATAATAGAAATAGATCGCTTAGTTCTATGTATAGATTGAAATATCGCGATGAAAAAAACGAAATTAGTAGTTTTGTTATCGTAAGTAATGCGGATATACTTACGAAAGCCATGGTTCGATTGCAGTCCATTTTTTGCCTACACTATTGCACCCTCGCGTTGCACGATGACGATACTACGGAATAACAAAAAAATCGCTTCGAGAGTCACCGAGTCACAAAGTAACGCGTAAATTTATTTCATATACGGTACATACACTGTGTGCCGAAAACGAAGATGCTTCTTCGCCGCAAGCACGACGCAGAATAAGCGAGCTCCGGAGTGACTGCGCGTCGCCCCCCTCAAAAAAAAGCTCTCGCAGTCTCCTCGCGACGCGCAATACGAGAAAAAGGCGATCGATGCGAAGGGATTGCCGACCCGCTTTTCGCCGTACCAAACGAAACGAAGTATACGCGATACTCGGTAAACATCTATCTGTCTTCGAATTTCCAAGCATTATAGGATAAATGTGAGAATTTTTCTTCATCGATCTCCCAGCCGGAGTATACGGAGTAAAGCGCGTGTGTTTGTCCACGAGCGAGAGTTATATAAAGACACACCGAGTCCAAGGTGAAAACTTCGAGTTCAATCGCGTCATTAGAGATTTTTAGGTAACGCGCTTCGTAAAAGCTATATCAAGGTCTTTGTTTTGTTTTTGCGTAGTTTTTAGGTCAATTTGTCGCAACTTAGTAGACATTTTTAACGAGAAAAGTCAAATAATGACATTTGTTTCAATTTCGGAAATTGAAAAAGTCTGTACTAACACCTTGTTCATGAATGCATAATATTTATGAATGCTTAAAATTATTTTAAAATATTATCAATTAAGTATGATTATAACAAATATGTAAGATATTATGCTGTGAATTAAGAATAAGGTTTTATTCGAAAAATGCGTATTTCTCGTCAATCTCAATAGTTACTGTATGGACCAACCAATATTACTATCAACCTGAATAATGTTATAAAATAATAAAAAATAATTATCCTCGCATGAAAAAGTAATAGGTTAAATAATGTTAACAGTATTGAAATGTTTTGATAGGTTGGAGACTAGATGTGTGTATAAATCGCTAGTAATGGTTTTGAAATTAATGAATGTTTTTCTCTTGAGATTGAACGTTGTTTTTTTAGAGTCTTTACATTTAAAAAATATACAAATGGAAGGCTAATGAAAGAAAATTGAATTTGAGATTGATCTAAGTCGATCCTTTTCGCCTATCGATTATTTATCATTGATTAATATTACTAACATTACTGACAATATGATACTTATACGTCAATAAAAAAGATACCAGTACATATTTTTTATTAAATTGATTCCTCCCCAACGTGGGGTTCAAAGTCGTATCCTATGATCTTAAGAGCCAGATAACCAGCGGATTTTCTAGTTCCCTTGTGAACCAGTCCCACTCCTGACAAAGGTGTCAGCGGTTCCGGCACAACTGGCACTATGTCAACGAAGGGCACTACACTCTGTCCAACATCACTCTCCATGCTGCTTGTCGTTAACTTCACAAATTGTACTGGAAAAAAAAATTAAAAATTAAAAAGAGAAGGCCTACTAGAGCAAAATTTATTTTTTTCAAGATTTAATGACAATTTACCAATGTTTTCTTTTTTAACGCCTCCGTTGTACGAGTCAACTTTATTATTATCATAGTCCGTTGGTACACCTCGATTTTCCACCGAAAATTCGCTACGCAAATAAGAGTACATTTAAATTTCAAACGTCATATCGATTCTTTTTTTCGACGCTCAGAAGGAAATTCATACCTGTATTCGCTTTCGGGCTTGGATTTACCACTGACTACCCAAATTTCTTGCGCCGTATCGATCGTTCCGTTCTTAAAATCAAATTTATGGCCCCGAGCCGCCAACTTAATAAAGCCATTTTCGTAGACGAATTTGACGCCTGTCAATACATAATCGTTGCCAAGCTCGATGTCGTCCAGGACGAACGATCTATTGCTCCAGGAGAGCGGCAGGAAGTCCACACCTTCGACGCGATTACTGATGTCACTCGACTGGAATTTTTTTCTCTTCCAAATTTTGCTCTCCGTGTCGATCTGGCCCGACGGCAAAAGTTTAGCCGTTCTTGCCTCCATAAATAACAAGCCTAACTTCATTCTGAAGCGAAGACCAACTATGACTCTGAGTAAAGAAGGTGAAAATGTTAATGACAAGTTTAAAAAGAGCTCCCCAATAAATTGGTCTTACTCGTTGTTTATTGCAGCTGCCCTAACCATTTGGAGGTCAATAGAACGATTATTTGAGTGCTCTTCACAAGTACACAAGCATAGTTCACACTGATTGTAGTATAGAAACCAATTAGTGGTTCGATACCAATTGAGTAGATCTCGATGGCAGTTTTCTAATTTACCATAGACGTTGCCATTGCTGGTTTTCACGTATTCGTACTTGTGTGCCGAGCCAGGCTGTAAAATAAAGAAGAAATTTTAATCGACTTAAGGTAGAAAAAATTTGACTATGAAATTAATGATAAATACACTACCTCTCCCTTACACACGTTTATGTCTGTGTCAAAAGTTTGACAATTTCTCAGTTGATACCCACAACCACCTTGGCTTGGTGTACGATCAGTTCGGCCGAGCTCATAACGCGAGCAACCCCCTGTACAAGGATGTCCTGAACGTGTGCCGGAAATCGGTTTAATTTCCTGCTCTTGCGCGATGTATTTTTGTAGGAGCGGGCCAAACTCCAGGTAATTGACATCTTTAAAAAAATTTAAATCAGAAACGTAACTGCAGAGATCGTTTTTATTTTTTGTAAAGTTTTCATAGAACTATATTTATACCTTTTTCTGGTTTGTCATTGTTAAAGTTCCAATACCAGCGGGGGTCCTTCTCCCTGGTTGTATCGAGCTCAAATGGATTCTCGGCTTAAAGTCAAAATCACAAGAATATAAAAAAACGAAATATTACTTATGTACAGTTTCGGAAGTCAACAACGATATAAAAGAAGAGTCGCAAAAAGATTAAAATCTAAGAAAATTATTAATTTCATTAAAATAATTGAATGCAATTTTAAAAACGAAAATTCAACCAAAAAAGGAATAGACACTTACTTTACATTTTTTTAGGTTTTTGATTTTGATTTAAAATGGAATTCATAATTCTCTTGGGGTTTATTTTTTTATATAATTGTTAACTTTTTAACTGTTTATTGATGTGAAACTTAAATTAAATTTGATTATATTTTGTCACATAGAAGTTTGGGTGAAAATAAAAATTGTTCTACGTGATATTATTGTAAAAGTTTACACCAGCCTCAAAAGATATTGAAACAAAATCATCCACGAATATCTTGAATTAATTTTTAATTTTTACCCTTGCCCGAACGAACGAAATAAAAGAGCCCGAAAGAAAAAGATTCGCAATTACTCACTCGATTCATTTTGGGCTCGTCGCACGCGGCTGCGTGTTTCCCTCGATGATACCGACAATACCAACAATACAACCAACAATAAGCCAACTGCGATCGAAAACTTCACCAACATTTTGTCGCTTTTTTTTCGAAATGAAGCTGCTTCTGTTGATCTGTGCTAGCGCACCGGATCGACGATATCAAAGACGCGAGTCGGTGAGCACGCAATTTGTAAATGCGATATCGTACGCACGAGATTTTTCGACGGCTTCTGTTACGTAATATCAAGTACTTCGATAAAACTTACGACATTTATCTTTTTTTCTCCTTGTCTTTCTCACTTCTTGTACATGGAGTCTCCGAGTGTGCGTTGTTCTCTTTCTTCTTTTTACTCGCGTTTTAATGTTCATTTAATTAATGTACGTAATGACAAATAAATCACTCGAAATATGAATGATTGTGGGATGTATCTTAAGCAACGATTGTCCAGTCAAATAAATAATCTGTTCGAGCTCAGATATTAAAAAGTAGGTGAAGGTAAACGTTGTAAGCATTGAAAAATGTTATTATGATTTTCACTATCAAGCTAAACTTTATTGAAAGTGAAATTATTGATACGAAAAAAAAAATAGTAAGAAATTGATCATTAAGTAACAAAAAACTTTATGTATATTCAAACATTCCGTGGACGTTAAAATATTTGCTATTCCACTCATAGTTCGTCAATTGAATTTCAAATTTTTCATTGGTAAATCGCAGCTTCGCACAAATTAAAGGCAATTGCACAAATATTATATCAAACTTACTATGATGATGACAACATTTGCATGTAAAGGTAAGCGAAGCTGCGGTGGTCGTGGAAGGTAAATTGGCAAATTTACCAATGATGATCGGACTTCATTTTTTCAAAACGATACACTTCTGCCGATGAATCCGAAATTATTTTTTTTTAAATAACTACGAAGTAAATTTTTTTTTAAAGAACGCAACTTGAGAAGCTTTGAAATGAGCGTGAGCGTGATCGCGTTAAAAAATTTATTGTAGTGTAACGTCGCAGTTAACTATTCTAGACGTTTATAGTTATTTTATATTCGAGCATTTGCGTCATAAGAATAATTTTTAGGAACAAAATTCTATCAAACCGCCTATTACCCTTTTCTCTCGGTCTCTGAAATATTTAAGAAAAACGCCAAATTTTGGCCTCTGAAAGTAAGTGATAGGTGGTCTCCAAAATTCTAAAAAAAATCATATGTATCCTTCGATGGATTAGTTTTTCTTTATTTCTATTAATATTGAGATTTATAAAATGTTGGCTTTGAAATTTGGGGTTCGAAGTCATAACCTATGATCTTAAGAGCCAGATAACCGCCGGATTTTTTATTGCTCGTGTGAATCAGTCCCACTCCCGACAAAGGTAGCAACTGTTTTGGTACAACTGTAACTTTGTGAATGAAGGGCACTATACTTTGTCCCACATCAGTTTCCGTGCTGCTCGTCATTAGTTTTACGAATTGTACTAAAAAAAGAATTTTAATTTTAAAAGAGCTACGTCAGCAAAATAAATTTTCAAATTTTTGATGGCAATTTACCAAGGATTTCATTTTTTTTGCTATCACTGTGCGAATTGACTTCAAAATTGTCGGAAGGATGCGGCTCGTCTCGTTTTTTCAACAACAATTCGCTACACAAAAAAAAACATTTAAATTTCAAGTGTCTAATCGGTTCTTTTCTTCGATTTTCTGAGGGAAATTCATACCTGTATTCCGTTTCGTTTTTGGATTTGCCACTGACTATCCAAATTTCTTCTGTCGTATCAATCGTTCCGTTCTTAAAATCAAATTTATGTCCCCGAGCCGCCAACTTGATAAAGCCATTTTCGTAGACGAATTTGACGCCCGTCAATGCGTAATCGTGGCCGAGCTCGACGTCATCCAAGACGAACGATCTTCTCGACTCCGATAGCTTTACGTAGTCCTCATATTCAACGAGTTTATCGAGGTCACACGACTTGAAATTCGGTAATTCCTTCCAAATTTGGCTCTCCGTGTCGATGTGGCCGCACGGCAAAAGTTCGGCCATTTTAGCCTCGATAGATAGCATGCCGGCCTGCATTCTGAAGCGGAGTCCGACTATGACTCTGAGCAAAAAAAAAAAAAAACGAAAATGTGGATGAGGAAATTTCAGAATCTAATAGTCGAGAGTAAAGGAGTTCCCTGATAAAATGTTTTTACTCATTTTCCGTTGCATTCGCTTCGATCGGACGAAGATCAAGAGACATTTGAAGAAACTGGCCGAACTGCGCTTGAATTTCATCGGTTCAAATATCAATATATGACTGTTATTGTCGTTATTTTTTCATCAATTATATCGAGCGAACTAAACTACCCGCCTTCTGTCATATGTACACTGCGTTCGCCGCAGCTCCAATACGAGCGCGAGGCCGTCCACATGGCGGCCTTAACGTTTACCGCGGCTTCGAACAATGCGTCGCTGAACACCTTTTTAAACCCTTCAACATCTAGCTCATTCTCGCTGCGCTTGGCCTCCTCGTATCTGATGTACAGGTCCACAATGGCGCCTTTGATTTCGGTAGCGCAGTATGTCAAGAAAATATTGTAAAGAACGAAGTGCTGGGGAAGACCGGTCGAGCACTCGATCGTAGATGTCTGTATTTTTTATAAGATAATTATTAACCACTTCAAGGATGCTGCTTTTATTTAGCTGGGAGAATTCATTTTTCAAGCGTATAGTAATCAATGGGCGCTATAACAGACTTACCAATGAGGTATCGGCCAGCATTTGGAAAGGGGCCGCCCATTCCCTGCTTATCGTCCTCTGAAACATCTGGAGTAGGATATTCTCTGGGCTGTTCGCATCTTCAGCAAGAACATTTTTAAACAGATCCTTTTTTAGGGATCTCGAGTAAGAACGCTTCATGCCGAAGGTGATATGGTTTTGGAATTTTGCGAAGTAACGGTCGATCTTCTCCTTCAGTTTAAAGAAGTCGTTGAATCTCTTTGCGCGAACTTCATCGAGCCTCGCGAGGAGATTCTCTCTGATTTCCTGGGCAACTGCGGATAGCTCGTCGCTTAACTCGCTGATCACGGCGACGACGGAATAATCTGACAGGCGATTGATCATCGTTTTGGAATCGGAGAAATTTTGCACGAATTTGATCAAGTCTTCGAACAACGCTGGAGGATTCCCTATCACTTCGAGGATGCTGCCGTCGGCGTTGATGTCTGCCTTTAGTTCGGTCGCGGCGATGACCACGAGAGCAAAATAAAGAAAAAAATGTGGCTTCATCGCGAAAACGATACTCTTCTACCGAACGATCGGGTAAAACTTATTTTTAAACAACTGCAAAGTGAGACTATTTTGTAACGAAGCAACTTATATACCTTCAAACTGAGCGTGATCGTGATCGCATCGTAACATTAATTGTGGTACAACGTCAATCGCTGTTTGTAGACGTACTTGGTCGAATCTAAAAAAAAATACAGTTTCATCAGCAAAAGAGAGTAAATTTTTTTTTGTTTTGGAAGGAAATTTCCTATCGAAAATTATCAGTTATGTTATTTTTTATGAGTGTGTTTCAATACTTTTGCAAAGAGTTGAAAACTGAGCGAACATTCGTATTCACGCGAAAACATGGTTTTTCGTCCTCTAGAACACGAAAGTAGCTTAAAAAATACCCTTCTTCCGATTTCATGTTCACGCATTTTTTCGCATGCCTAGGATACCCAGAAACCATTTACCGGGGTGCGGGTCCGTGGCAAGCAAAAAGAAACTTAACTTAAATTTAACTTTTTTCGCCGATGGAAGTGCATTTTTTTAGATCTCACCATGTATATATTTACTTATAATTCTAACATTTTCGTCATGGTAATAAAACTTTATTGTTTCGCAAACTAATACAGTTGATTTTACTGTCAACAAGTTATTTTTAGTATAAGTTTGAAACTATTCGTTATTAAAATACACATATTATTTTCGAATAATACATACGAATGCTATTTCCGTAGATGTAATTGGGTAGTCTACTTTTTTTTAAAAATTGTGTACCCCAGCGGATCTAAAATCTCATTGGAAAAATTCGAAAAAGTGATTTTTAAGGTGTCAATTGATTTTCAAAGTTTTTTTTTCAACATGAAAAAATCGACACTGCACAGGTTGCCATCTTTGGCACAAAAAATACAATAATAATGATTTAGTTCTGCTTCGTTCGCAGCCCTGTGTGATAACGCATTGTATAGCATGTGCACGGCAAAACACCGCGCGTCGGGTAAGGCGCGGAGAGGTCAAGCAGTCGACGCGGGACGTAAACATATACCGAATGAGCCCAGCTCTGTGCTATTCTCGCCAGTTGTCCAACGTAGTCCGCTCGATCGTCACAGAGAGGTTAGATAGTTCAGTAGTGTTCGTGAAATTCCAAGTGAGAAGTATGGAGTCCAGTTGTATACTCAATTCTGCTGTCAGGTAATTTTCATTTTTTGCGACTCAAATTATAAAAATACGATCTTACCTGGGACTATTTCAGAGTGAAAGAAGAAGCCAATGATGTGCCACTTACTGAGAATGGTTGTGAAATGATGGACGAGAAACCCGATCTGAAAAACATTCAACTCCTACCATTTGTGAAAGAAAATTCCGTAAGTGTTGATGATTGTATTATTTAACTTTTATTATAAATATGTGTAACTCGAATCGAATTTTTCCACAGAGCCATACTACGCTTCGAAAATGCGACATTAAACTTAAAAGTGAACTCGATGAAGATATGGGAATAGTTTTTGAATGTAAAGATGTTAAGCCCAATATGAATTTGTCAGTAGTTAAAAAAATAGACGATTGTTCTCCAAATCACTTACAGAATGTAAAAGATGACAGCAGTTGTAAAAATCAAAACATAATTAAAGTAGAGCATGCAGAGGAAGTGAAAAAGGAATTTTGTGGTGACGCTTTAGAAGAGTCGAATTTGAATTTCGATTGTGAATTCAATGATGATATAGAAGTAATTGTTGAATGTGAAGACATGAAGCCCAATGTGGATGTATCAGCAATTAAAAAAATTGACGATGACTCTCAGAATCACTTGCGAAATGTCGAAGATAGCGATGAAATTCAAAACGCAATCATTCCCGAAACCACGAGGAAAGTGAAAAAAGAAATATTCGATTATGATACAGAACAATTTGTCGAACAAAATGAAAAAATAAGAATTTCAAAAAAGTACAACAACGACCACGGACTCAAAACACACATTTGTATGGTGCACAATGATACAACCCACCCACGGGAAATACGCAGAAAGAAATGTACAACGAAGAAACATCTTAAAACTCACATCGACTCAGTTCATAGAAAAACTAGACATGCATGCGATATATGCGGAAGAACATTTTCATTAAAAAATTATCTTAAAATCCACGTCGATTCAGTGCACAATAGAGTTAGATATGCATGTGAAACATGTGGAAAGAAATACTTAGAAAAGAGTTACCTCAGAAAACATATCGAAACAATGCATAATGGTGTTAAACATGCATGTGATATTTGCAGAAAGACATTTGCAACAAAAGGATGTCTCAAAATCCACATCGATACGGTGCACAATGCTTGCGGTGTCAAATATGCATGTGATATTTGCGGAAAGACATTCGCTCGAAAAGGTAATCTTAAAACCCATATCGATTCGGTGCACAATGACGTTAAATATGCATGTGATAAATGTAGAAAATCATTTACTCATAAAAGTAGTCTCAAAAGACACATTGATACGGCGCACAATAGTGTCACTAATGCTTGCGATATTTGCAGAAAGACATTTGCAACAAAAGGATATCTCAAAATCCACATCGATACGGTGCACAATGCTTGCGGTGTCAAATATGCATGTGATATTTGCGGAAAGACATTTGCAACAAAAGGAAATCTCAAAATCCACATCGATACGGTGCACAATGCTTGCGGTGTCAAATATGCATGTGATATTTGCGGAAAGACGTTTAAAAGGAAGGATAATTTCAAAATCCACATCGATATGGTGCACAATGGTGTCAAATATGCATGTGATAAATGTAGAAAATCATTTACTCATAAAAGTAGTCTCAAAAGACACATTGATACGGCGCACAATAGTGTCACTAATGCTTGCGATATTTGCAGAAAGACATTTGCAACAAAAGGATATCTCAAAATCCACATCGATACGGTGCACAATGCTTGCGGTGTCAAATATGCATGTGATATTTGCGGAAAGACATTTACTCAGAAAGGTAGTCTCAAAAGACACATCGATTCGATGCACAATTGAGTCCGACATGCATGTGACATCTGCCAAAAGACATTCACACAAAAGGGTCGTCTTGGATATCATATTGATACGATACACAATGGTGCCAAGCGTGTATGCCATACTTGCGGAATGACATTCCTCCGCAAACACAGTCTCACTGAACACATTAATGCGAAGCACAGCGGTGTCACACGTGCATGAGATAATGGGCCAAAAGAAATTCGTACGAAAGGATCATCTCAAAACCCACGCCAAAACGATAAAAAATAGTGTCTAACATGCACGTAATATTTGCGGAGAAATATTTTCAGTTCGATCTACCCTTATCTAGCAAGTCAAAGCAGCGCATAAAGGTACGCAACTTGAACATGCGATAAATGCCAAAAAACATTCACAAATAAGAGGCAGTCTCAAATTTAATTCCAATACGAAGCTCAATAGTGTTCTATAACAAACATTTGATGCGGTTGTAGTAATTTTTCTATCAAGTTTTGCCTCAAATACCACAAATCATTCTCAACCGAGAACCGTTTTTCATTCTACATTGATTCGGAGAATCGCTCAAGCATTACAGCTGGATGAACGTACAAAATTCAATGTATACATGGATGAATAATTGAAAAATGTTCATTTATAATGATACAATAATTTCCTCCATTATTATCTCGTTATGTAAAAACCATATTTAATTTTTCAAAAATTCAATAAACTTTTGGAGGAAACTAAAGCAGATTGTTTATTTAAAAGCTGATGAATCGTCGACCCCCTCCCATTACTTTTACATTTTTGCGGGTTGCAGGGCTAAAGCAAAAGTGAAGCTCCAACGCGTTTATTTCTTATTTCTTTTTTTTTTATACCTGACCAAGTCGTCCCTGGTATAGCCTACCAATACCCATAACATATAGCACAAGCACAAGTGTCAACTTCCGCTGAAGCTTGTTTCTCTCTCTCTCTCATCTCGCAGTAACCATTATATACTGTACAGAAAGTGAGCAGTAAGGGCAGTATTATACAGTTCAGCATTACACACAGAGCAGGTAAGATGTATACAGGTTGGTATATATAGGAGGAAGCCGCGCGAGACGTACTACTACTACTACACAGCACACAGCTTGCAAGAGCGTTTTATTGAGTTGTAAAAGCTTCTGGGAAAATGTGATGACGACGCGAGGGCCTCTGCGTTGCGTTGCGGCGCGTTGAAGAGTATATATATATAGTAGTAGACTTACACGCATTATTTATATGTAATACGTCGACGATATAAAGCGGTAATGTGACTTTCGCTTGCAATTACATGCCTATATGTGCGCGCGCGCGGCCAAGCTCAAAGTTCTCTTCTTCTCTTCGCGTCCAATATAATGACCGGTTCTTCTCTTCTCATCTGTGCTCTGGTCTCGCGCGCGCGGCCGCTTCCGAAGCCGCGCGCATTCCGGGCATCCTTCTAATTGCTATTGCTCTTTTATGCGCGCGCGAGCGCTGTTAGTGTGTACGAACAATCACTCGGCCCGCGAGTCTTTTGCGCGACATCAGCTCTCTGTCTCTCTCTCTTCGTATTGCTGCGAGTCTTTATCTTTTTACCTTTTTTTTTTTTTTTTGGCTGTTTTTTTTGTATCAATAAAATCTCGGACTCGAAGCTCTCGTGCGAGTGGTTCACTCAGATCTTACGAATGTTTGCAAATGAATTTAACAATGAGATATTGGTTTGAGTCACAGTAATTTTTATTAACGTAATGAATCAATATGAAGTAGTTTCATACTGCGTTAAGTACATCCTGAAATTGAACTTTTCAATAATAATTCATATTGAACAATGCTTACAATGCTTAAAAGTAATAATCGTTTTGAACGAAACTTTAAATTTTTCTTAAAGTTAGCTTATATTATGTCAGTCGTACCATTAAAAAATAATCCAATCATTTTTATCATTCATTTAGGCACACAATAATATCAATATCAGTCAATTCAATCTTAACAAGTAAATGAAAAGTACAAAGTCAAACCTTAGAAATTTAAATTTAGCACTAACAATTTTTATGTCGTATTATTATCACAAACAAAATCAACTTTTAGTTTTAATTTACTATAGAGTCCAAAGTTGCCAATATTTTGCCCATGACTCTTAATTCTGCTTCTGCCATGCTACTACCTAAGCTTATTCTTAAAATTTCAGGATCTGTATTTAATTGTATGACAAGCATTGCTGTGAAAGGCTCTGCTGTTTTAACCATCATATGATGGAAGTCAATTTTTGCTGAATCTAAAAATGATTGAAATGCAGTTTTAAGTTTTGACATATTTTCCTCTGAACAATTATCATTGCATTCTGCATGTATAGCCTGTAATGTCTTTAAAGTATTTCCAGGATCGGCAAAACTACTCATCAAACGATGCAACAATTTTTGATGTAATTTTTTAATACCACCTTCAGAAGAACTACCTTCAGATAGATTTGATTGTTCATTTTTACTTTGCTTACTGCCGTTCACTATCACTTTGAGTAGTAGCTCTTGAGAATTTGACTCAGTACCATCACTTTTAAGCTTGGATTTATTTGCTACATCCTTTGGCAACAGATCTTGAGAATTTGACTCAGTACTATCATTATTTATCTTTGATTTATTCGCTATTACCTTATGTAACAGATCTTGAGAATTTGACTCAGTACTAATAAAATTAACTCTTCCTCTTTTGAAAGCATTAGGATTTTGTATTATTTTTTCAAACATTAATTTAGCAGCATACTGCTTGGCAATTTTTTTACATTTACCATGGCCTTCAGTACTGATTGACAATAAGGTACATCGCATTGAAAACATCCTACAATGTTGTGGTCCTGTAGGTTCTAGTTCTGTGTAAACTGGTAATTCTATACCTTCTTTACTACAAAGTGTCTGAAAAAAAAAAAAGAATAGTTAAATTACATCAAGAGTTGCTTTGCGATATAAATAAAAAATTATTAAATAAATTCATACATTCAATGATTGCAAAATACCCTCCGTTACTTCAACTGAATTCAGTGGAGGTGATGCTTGAACACTCGTTTCTACAGCAGGATTATTGACAAATTTTTGTGATGTCGCCACAGCAGGTGCTTGAATATTTGTTTCTTCTGTAGGATATTTTCCAAGTTTTTGTAACATAGCAACTGCAGCAGCTTGCTTGGATTCTTTTTTTGACTTTCCAAAAGCTTGAATGGTGATTCCTTGAAAATTGAGTTTGCTCATAAACTTAAAACATGGATTCTCTGCACAATGTGGTAATTCCGTAATCTCATAGTTAGGATTAAATCCTACTTTATTCATTACGGTTTTCAAAGTTTCAACGGGATTGCTCTCAACAATTTGTGGAAGCATCTTGGCCTTCTGAAAAAATATTATAAAAGCAATGTATCAAAAGTTGTTATTTGCATCATTTGATAACTATTTGTTGCTGTTATTAGTATTTTAATTTTCAACCGCAGTAAAAAAAGTTTTATGCACAGTAAAAATTTGCCCAGCTAATGTACTGTAACAATGTTTAATTTTTATAAGTATTTGTTTTGGTTTAGTTGTTACGTATCAAATATTTCTAATCAATAATTTAATCAGTGTACATTTTTTCTTAAAAACAATTTTATCACAAAGTTCACTGTAATATTTAACGCGCATTGATTACGAACGTTCAAAAAGTAAATCTGTTGCGTCAATGTATACAACTTATTGCTTTACTTTATTCTTAGATGATATGTTTCTCATTTCAAGTATTATTTCGATATAATTTACATTAAAACATATAATTATTAAACATTGTCATAATCTTATAAATACCTTATTAGCATTAATATTCGATAAATTTTCCATTACAGTCGACGATTTCTACACGGACCTGTTGATCATCAATTGTCTGATTTGTCGCTTGTGCGTTGAGCTATCGGGCACGGAATATGTAGCCTTGAAATACAAGGTGCTGTAACTGCTGTGTATCCGTAAATACGAAGACGGAGGAACCGACAAGGCACAGAGCATTGGTACGATATTTCGTACTTTTGCTCTGGCGTCGCGCGCGTCGATTTTTACGCAGTGTAGAATACAAAAGAATAAGGTCAATATTTTCGTACTATTCCAGGGAGGGGGAACGCGCGTGCGGGATTTCCAACTGATTGTGCAGCGATACAAGTTCGTGTTGGCTTGTTATGAAAAAAATAGATCGAGAATGATATTGGATGAGCAGATTCATCATTTTAAAAAATGCAACGATTCGAACGTTGAGTGCGTTCCAACGCTTCTCTCTCTCTCTGTTTCTTTTTCTCGTCGCTAGTGCAACGTATATTAAACGTTCGAATACGGCCGCGAGTGTAAAGTCATTCGAACGACGAAAATCCCTTTTATCATATTGCATATTGCATCGAGTAAAAAAGTGCGTTTTAAGATAATATCCCTTCGTACGTAACAACGCCATTGTAAATGTGACTAGTGGTAGTGAGGTTAAAATATACGGGGGAGGCTTCTAACGAGAATTGTTAGTTTTCTCCTCGGGAAATGTCGCCAGCCAAATATATATTAATTGACATACGGAAAAAGATGCCATGTCAACCGACTGGTGAGTCTTTGCTTTTATCTAATGACAAATTTTATATCGTATAAAAATTATTTTATCGAAATTCCCTCCAAATAAACTCGAGTCACTGCTGCATGTTAACGCAAAAATGGCCAATGCTCGCTCACCCCCATACGAAATACAATCGATCATATAGTCTCAAGAGTCGAGCTTAATATTTTTCGTCAAGATCAATGGACCCGTAAAGCCCCCCGCAGCACATCTTCGCTGCGGTCGTAAAAAGTGTCCGCGCAAACGTTTAACGGGCTAAACGTCTGCCCGTACAACAGCGTGCAGATACACTCGTAGTATAGTGTGAACGATCGAGAATTACGGGCACACGAGCTTCCGGCTTTCTTGTCTCTCTCTCTCTTTCTTTTATATACGGTGTGCAGCTGAGGCCACTGAAAGCGCATCACGACGCGAAGCGACGAAGCCTCGATTTTCCGTATATCCTCGGCTGCTGCTGCTGCTGCTCGGGGACGACGAGGACGAGGCGAGCGCGCTGATACTCATCATCCGTCTGTATATGACCTCGCGGCGGCGGCAGTTGGCCGTGCTCTGCGTGTGCACGAGGTGCAGTACCTACACATAGCGAGATTCCAGCTAATGTGTGTGTGTGTATATTACGTATATATATATAGGGCTAGCTGCTTTGTCTCCTTCATTCTGTTGCTGTTGCTGTTGCTCGTCGTCGCTTCATTAATTGCGCCGCGCGCGCAATAGCAGCTGTGTCGTCGTCGGTGTATTCCTACCATGTGTACCTCTCTATGTTCATTTAGTACCTCTATACTCTCTTCATGCCTCCTGCGGTACTTCGAAACCTCTGTTCTTCTCTTGCACTCCGTAGAGTAGCTCGCGCGCGCGGCGCGGCGCAATTAAAAGCTCTCCTCGCGAGTCGTCGAGAAAGAGAGTGCTGCAACTGATGAGTTTTAGTTTAGGTTTTGTATCTTATAATGTACTACTATTACTACGTCGTACTGCTGTATCGCGAGCGAGCAGTGTGCAACGGCACACGATATGCGCGGAATCCCGAAGCTCCCGTATAGTACTACGATATACATTTTCTCGCGGTATGCCACCTATTAGCCAAAGTAAATCTTTCTCTCTCTCTCTCTCGCTATGTGGAGTTACAAATGGCCGCGTATGTGTGTAAATAAGTGCCACAGCGCGTCCAGTTGCGTCGTCTCTCTCTCTTTATTCTGCATTGTTTTTGTTTTCCTCGCGAGCCACCCGCGTGCACGCGCGCGTCTATACGTCGAATAGTTTTTCGTCATATCGACGTAAGTAGTCGCGATGCTGCCGGTATTTCTCTATATATCTCTACATCGATGTTGCGTTGTCTCGTCGTATATACGCGAGAAAAAAAGGATTCGCGACTTGTGCCTGCTGTCTCTGTGTGCGGCACTCGGAGCATAAACAGTAAACACACACAAAACAACACAAACACGTGTTCGCCGAACGATCAGCGCTTTTCGAAAGAACAGCTTCATTATTTTGACCCGAGAGAGAGAGAGAGAGCAAACTTCATTATCAAGCGTAACGTATATAGTACTCGAGACTGCTTATTTGTCTTTGGGGCTCGTCGTCGTTCGTCGTCGAGGTCGCGCGTGCACTACATAATGCAGCTTTGTGTGAGATGTGCGCTGCATGGAGAGTCTTCGCGGAGAGCGAGAGACAGAGAGAGAGAGAGAGAGATGACAAAGAAATCACTGCTGCGGACGCTCGAGGCTGTAAACACGATGCACAGATAAATGATGATACGGTCAGCTCGAGCGGACGAAGTAATTTTTGAAAATCGCGAGGATAAAATAGTAGATATGACCCCATCTTGATACTTTGAGCTAGACGGGAGCTCGCTACTCCGTTCTCCATTTTACGTGTCTAATATCAAGACTGTCAAGCCGAAACGGGAGCCTATGTATCAAAGTACGAAATGCATCCAATTCGTAATACAAACGAACCATTACGTTCCGAACAATGAGACACACGCACATTTGAATGAAGCCATTTACATCGAGTCGTTGAGTGCATCGTGTATATATTTTATATTATTATAGGTGCACACGCGTACCGCGTGAGAATTAGAGAGACGAAGCCGAGGAGGAGGAGGATAGGATCCCACAACGAAAAGTGTCGCGTGCTCGTATATCCTACGTGTGTACGAGTACGAGTGCGTCGTCGTCTGTCTCCTTTCGAGTGAAAGTGCGCGGCGCATACACGTTCGCGCGAGCTGCTCGTGTCGCAGGTTCACTTTTTATGCATTATAAATGGCAGACACGCGACCACATAATACGATGCACACGAGGCGAGTTTTCGCGCGCCTTCCGGGTGCAAGTGAGTCGCTGCAGCATAGCTCGCGAGTGAACTCGTGTGCCTGCGCGTGGTATCGAGCACGCAATACTACATACGTTATCGAATCTTGCATTATAGTGGTTCGGTGTGTCGAGTGCTGCTGCATTCGCGCTGCTTTTCTCTTAGCGTGAATTCGCTGAATCGATTGCGCGGACGATAAAATGAGAATGGAAACGATCGCGAATCGTATCATCGCATTATCGATCGAATTGGGGTGAACTAGTCGAGAGTAGAAGCTATATGCGTAAAGATGTAAATGCGCTTGGTGTGTCTTGTATTATCTAAATTGACAAAACGATTACATGCTGCTTTTTGTCCCTATAATATGTAAATGCACGTGTGTCAGAATGTTTATATAGCCTATTCATTGATTTGTTTTTATCGTTACATTTTTTCGTGCATTATGCAATAGATTTTAATTCTAAACTAATTATCATCTCAAAAACATCGCGGCAGTTTTATCAGTATTAAAAGTCGCTGAAAATTCATTGGCAAAGAGCTTCCTCATAGTAAAATGCTTTTTTACATAAGTTATTATATTGTCCCAATTACGCTGGTTCTTTCTTTCTGTAGTCTTACTTCCACTTTTAACTTATTTGACATTAACTTGATTGAATTTTATAGATTTCAAATTAATTTTCGAGTGCATAAGTCCTGGAAGGAGGACTAATTCCGATGACAAACGCGAGATGGCTTGTGGCCCGTTTAAGCGTCAACACGCAATCAAAACAGTCTCGTTTGGTATAGGTATATAAGGCCAAGTACATTGGTAAGTTGCACACGCTACGTGAAAAACTGTTTCAATATCTCGGTTAGGAATTGAAACCGCTGAAATATTTTCTGTAATAATATTTTGACACCTTTCGCAAGTAATTATACTCTTCACATTTGGATATATTTTCATTAGGTTGGAAAAAAGTTGTTCAATATTAGAGAATGCATCAACCTTTTGCATTCTGTAATCTTTATCATAAGTTGGTGGGTAAAGAGTGTTTAAAATATACGCTCTAAAAGTATAAATACTTCCTACCAGTCCTTTCTCAGCATAATTTAATAATGTCGATGCATAGCATAAAAAACAAAGCTTCATTCGTACAAGATTCTATTTATGATCTGAATGTATCTGAATTTATTACTGCTTGGCATAACAGTTTAATGATGGTATCAAATGCACACGTGTTTACAATTTTCGTAACAACGGTTTTTTGGTTCTAATTAAAAACCATTCATAAGATTACCTCTTCTTGTAATTTTATTTGTTTTTATTCTAAGGTTTATTAAGACCTGTACTTTGTTCAAATTCATTAAAATAGTCGTTACATTTTCTTTTCACTATTTGCACCACTGAAACCTTTCCAAAATCCGTAAAATTCTAAAATGTCTTCATTTGAACTATTACTTATACTACTATTTATACTACTCTACTTGCTATCCACACATTGAAAAATATTTTCTGTGCCATTATAGTACTTTTTCAACATCCATATAATTCATTGTCATTACAATTTATTGTCTTCAATGACGACATTAAAAATATTTTCTACGCCATTAAAATCTTTTTTAACAAAATCTTTCTACACTTCCCGAAACTTATTTTAAATAGTATATAAATGAATAAAAACAAAACGAGAGAAAGAGTTTGTGCGCAACGCGTGAAAAGTTCTTTTTTTTTCATTTTACTCGGTGCTGCGAAGCTCGCGAACGGCTCCATTGTCTGCTCGTGCTCGTCACGAAATTCTCACACGATAATATTATACGTTAGCGCAAACTCCAGAGAACAACGTGCTCGGTCTCACACACATTCACGTTACGTATTGTTTTTTTTTTTTTGTATTAAAAATGCAGGCATGTACCGTTTCAAGGATTATACGTATCGAGACTCGGTGAAATTATTGCTTGCAATACTTTTCGACACTTTTTGGTTTTTTCCCTATTTAACGCGCGCATTAGGCGCTATCCAACGGCGATTGAAAAATCCACGTCTACTCTGAACGTTTTACGTTGGAAAGATAATGTTAACAAGAGCTCGAGCAGTGACAAGCTTTTATAAAATAGGTGCGCGACCTACCGGTAGCTGCTGCTGCTGCCACCGAGATGATGGACTCACGCGCGCATTACGAGAAAGACAGAGAGAACGAGGGACAGATATAGAGACCGAGAGAGAAAGAGAGAATAGGAGATCGAGAAAAAAGCGTGACAAGCCCGGATAGCTCCATCAGACACTTGTCCGACACGCTCGTCGCGGCTGCCGCTGCTGCCGCGGCTATGTAGCAGCAGCAAATAAATAGAGTCCCAGACTTTTTTATCCATGTTGCGCGGAACGTGCTTACTTTTATTTTTCTTCATTGCTACACGAGACTCGGGCGTGCGCGCGTAAGTCGTTGAATTCCGAACGATTTCTTTCTAGCGGTGCGAGTGTATCGAGCGGTCGAAAGCGCAGGTGAAGCGATGAAAACTTGATGGATTGACAGGATATCGGGTAAAATCATGTACGAAAGAATTAATCATCATTAGCATCGATTGAATCAAAAGAGGATTTTAGCCAGTGCAATGATTTTCCTTTCATAAAATTTGTGGCCTGAAAGTGCTATCGAAGCAAGCGCATTTTATAACGAGAAACTTGATGCAATCAATGTAATTCTTTATAAAAATTTAAGAAATAGAACATTATTAACCAATTATCGATGAAAAATATTTGGAGTGTATAAACTAACGAAATGATTATAAAAAATGCATTCCTAGTCCGAATAATCATTGGAAAAAAAATCGCCCTCGACTCGAGATGGACTGACACTCATTATAAAGATGCGCGCGAAGCCCCCCTGCGTAAGGTGCTAGGTACACACATTATAAATAATTGAATGGTACACCGCAAGGAATGTCGCTATTTATATGCATCCGATTTTTATTTTTTTTTATTACGCGAACAAAACGACCGCGCGGACTCTGTGCGTCGAGCTTTTCGAACGCGCGTCCGCGGCTGGCGCGCAAATTTACACATCTTCGTTTGTCACCGTGCGAAAGCGCGAGGATAATCCATACACACACACACACACACACATATACGGACACGGTGCACCAACTCCGATATATAATCAAACTGTCCGCGCAGTCCAGTACGTGTATACATAAAAGGCTCACGCGTGTCTATATACCTCGCGTCGAACCTTCAGAAGCAAAATCCGCTCCGCGATTCCATATTCTCATGAATCTTTCCGAAACTACTTCTCCAAGAGTCTGTCCGTGTGATGCGTATGTACACGCTGCAGCGCGTTGCGATCGCTTGTGACGGTTCTGGCAATGCTAATTTGGCTTTCACGCGTTGCTTTTGCGCTCGTGTACTTACTTACTTACTTACTGCAACTGTACGGCAGCATCAGCAGTCGCTCATGCGAGAGGTGCAACAACAGCAACAGCAACAATTCCTGGTTGCGCGCAGCAAGTGCAGCATATAATACAGTGTATGCGCACAGCGAGAGAGAGAGACGAGGGTATGAATAAAAGAGCCGACCGATAACGACCGAGCTGCGCGCGCTAACGACCCCCTCGTCAATTCAATTCGCATATCTCTCTTTCTCTCTCTCTCACTCGAGCGAGCGAGCTTGTAACATGCGTGCGAAGCTACTTTTCGATCACACACACACGCCTTTTCGTATATATATTATACACGTCTATCTGTAATGCTGCTGATGCTGCTGCTGCCGCTCGTATAATATATAATGCTCTCTTTCTCATGCTTGAGCTTTGCTGTATAGCGAGGCAACACAACATACCGAATAGTTCTTTCTTGCAGCTCTTCTTTCTTTCTTTCTTTCTCTCGTCGCTCTCGCTCTCTTATATATATCTCGTCTCGACGAAGGCCAGCAGCAGCAGCCGCGCGACTCGCGAGAGAGAGAGCGGAAAAATCATTCCGTTCCGTAGGCGATTATATCCATGGGATCTGTCGACTTTGCGCGCGCGAATCTAATAGAACTAGTTGTAGCTTCTTCTTCTTCTTCTTCTTCATCGTCGTCTTTCCTCTCGTCGAGATAGTCTTCTTCTTTCTTTCTTTTCAAGGACGCGCGCGTTTACACGCTTACTTTATTTATATGCATTGACAATTGGCAAGAGAGCGAGATATAGAGAGAAGACGAGACCATTGGAAAACCGCGCGAGAGCTGGAATCTTCGAGGTGCATCATCATAGACACGTATACAACGGAGAGAGAGCTTCGAGAAAAAAGGAGGAGTGCTGCAGAGCTGCCATAACACTGTAGGCTTAGGGTGTGTGTGTGTATTATATTATACATGTACGCTACCGATGGTCGCTTATAAATAAGCCGCTTTATAATACGCAGGGTTTTCCTATATCGTATACTTTCGATAAGGATCGCGGAGCGTGTCTACATGTATTTCGAATCGCACACACGGGGTACCACCATAGGCAGTTCTCTCGCTCTGACACCTGTCCACCCGGATGGATGATATAGCTCGCGGAGGTGAGCAGATCCTCGCGGATCGTTGCCGTGAGCTTCTTCTTCGTATACACAGCAGCTTCGCTGTTTTCCTATAATACATAGAACGTGTATAAATTCTGACTCCGATCGTTGCGCGATGCCTACGAGCCTATCACGTAATTTTTTATTATAAAAATTATGCGAGCGCTCGCGTAAACCTATTTATACGTTATTATGCTCTCGCGTATACATATATGAGTGCTTGCGAAATCATTTCCCAATATGTACGCGCGTTAATGTATCTGTATTATGTGCCGACCCACAGCCCCCCACGGATCGTTATAAACTATTTCCAAGTCAAATCGGCTCGGGATTTACGATGTTTAAATCAACGGCGTCGTATTTGGATTCACTTTGTCGATCGATGTCACATACTTAATGCGGAATTCCTGATGGTTATGAAACTTATGAGAACTGTGGAGACCAATGAAGATTTGCAGCTTTTTTCTGATCTACAATTGCGCTTTGAAATAATGTCACTTTCGTTTCAATAAATGTCGAACAAAGTAAATACTCTGACCCTGTTGGAAATGTTTAAATTGGCTTGTTTTTGGCAATTTTGAAATCGAAATTTTAACTGTATAAAAAAAATTAAGATCAGTTTTCAAACGCTCTGAATGTGACAATGCGGCTTTAAGTTTCCACCACTAGATGGCGAATACCTGCATAATGAAAACCTGCAAGTGGCAAAGTACAAATGATTGTATAAGTCAAAGCAGGGCATCTAACAAAAGTTACTTGATAGGTGGTCCGTATTGTGTATTTAAAATATTAATTGCCAAAAGTTGTTTGTACGTCAGGCTGTTGTACCTACTCATTGCTTATTGAAAACTAAAATTTAATCAGAAACGTACAGCACAGTACAATTATGAGCGACATATGTATATACATTCGTTATACTTTTTGCCTAGGTACATCGCTTGTTAAGCACACACACACACACCGACAAATAAAGAAAAATCATTGGCCGCTTAGTCTAGTTACCTCGTGCCCCTCGCGCGCGCACGAGAGCCGATATACAGCTGCAGTGTTTTATTGCCGCTGCATGCTTAAATCCTTTGTACTGACTCGAGCGAGATCGGTAGATGTATAATTTCCTCTTTCTCTCTCGCTCGGACCTGAGGTCACGACAATAAAAGGTTTGCGGGGCCTCTATACAATGTTTCCAACTCGTCCATTTAAATACTGCAACATATACTTGTTCGGTCAATAACGATATACGTGTGTGTGTGTGTGTGTGTGTTCGATAGTCGCTCGCTCTCAAGGGCTTATAAGCTTGGATTAAAAAAAAAAAAAAAAACAAAAGTAAAGAGGCAACTCACGTTTTTAGCATAAAAATGTTTTCTCCGAGCATTTAGTTGGGTGCTTTAATTTTACAGAAACCTTATTTTCTCGCGATTGAGACAAGTTAGATCGAGCGATCTTTAACGCATCGACTTCCGTTTTTCTTTCAATTCCCATCAAAATGAACAATTTAAGTAGCTTCGACATAATTACGTGTAATCGTGTTCGCTCTTTCAAGGTCCTCTAGACATTTTAATAATAAAATCGGGACTAATTAACTAACACTGTACTACTGCTCTCATTTGTTGCACTGCGTGCGGTTAAGCGTCGATAGCGATTTTGTCTAGCGTCGACTAGCTGCCTCGCTTATCTCTCGTTTCGCGGAAATGACACACGAACGTAGCTAAAGTAACACTTGTGTTCGATACATTGTATGCAACAATGTATATGTAAAAGATTATTTTTCCGTCTATGCAAATGCAACGATCGCAGGAAAAATAGAGTTTATGCGTGATACGATAAACGAATGTCGCTTGGCGTGGATTTTCGTCGATGGTTTGTGGTTTTCCGTTTTCCCGATCGTTTTGTAGTTCGCAGTAGTTTACGAAAATCGTGTATAAATAGTTGGATGCAATTGCATCTTGCAACCATTGGTTATACATCATTGTAGAAGCGCGCTCTGATACATTGATTTTCATTTTAATAACTGACTAAAAATGTCGGCGATACGCAAATCCGATCTTTTGTCGTTGCTCTACCGTATACGAGAGCCAGTTTATTATCCGAAAAATGATTTGGACAAAACATTGTTCATCGAACTGTCTCCGGAATATTTAGTAAGTACAGTAATAGTTTATTAATTACAGAGTAAATTTTAATATTAAAATTTTCTATCTATATTTTTTCAAATTCTCTCGTCAAACAGCCGCGAAAGTACCAGACGAAAGCACCTCAAATTCTGTCGCGATTCGGCGAGCAAGATGGGCGCAGAATCGACATAAGTTCGATGCTGCGCGACGACTTGCTGAACATCAAGCTCGACGAGGTGCAGACCGTCGACAGACGCGATCAGTTCTCTCTGTTCGTACCCAAGCACCATCGAGCCGCCAACAAACTGTTGGAAATATTTTTGGGTAAGAATCGAGAGCACGACGACGATATACCTACGCACCGAAATTAGGCGCTGACCAAAAATTTTTCCACGCAGGTCTCAAGAGCGTCGACGATCTCATGGCTTTCGCGGCTTACGCGCGCGAACGCGTGAATCCGGCGCTGTTCGCCTACGCCTACTCGGCGGCCCTGCTGCACCGGCCCGACACGAAGAATCTCGTGCTGCCGCCCGTATCGGAGATATTCCCGCACAACTTCGTGGACGCCCAGACGATCGCCGAGGCCAAGGAGTCGGCCGACATCCTCGCGAGCCCCAGCGATCGCGTGGCCATCGAGATACCCCAGGACCTCACGGGCAACGATCGCGACATGGAGCACCGGCTGGCCTACTTCCGCGAGGATCTCGGCATCAATCTCCACCACTGGCACTGGCATCTGGTCTATCCGCTGGACGGGCCCGCGGCCGTCGTCACCAAGGACCGTCGCGGCGAGCTCTTCTACTACATGCATCATCAGGTGCTGGCGCGCTACAACGTCGAGCGCATGTGCAACGGCCTGGACATGGTCAAGCGGCTCGAGTGGGACGAGGCCATCGAGGAGGCCTACTTCCCGATGCTGAACTCGGACGTGTCGGGCCGCGACTGGCCCTCGCGACCGGCCAATCTGCGCCTCACCGACATCAATCGGCCCGATCTCCAGCTGAGCTTCAGCATCGACGATCTCAAGCGCTACGAGGAGCGCATCTACGAGGCCATCCACAAGAAGGTCGCCCTCGACGGCAACGGCCAGAACATCGACCTGCTGAACGAGCAGGGCATCGACGTGCTCGGCAACATGGTCGAGGCGAGCATACTCACGCCCAACGCCGATTACTACGGCAATCTGCACAATATGGGCCATTCCGCGATCGCTTACATACACGATCCCAAGTATCAATACATCGTGAGTAAAAAAAGTTGTTGGCTGTTCGGAGGACAGTTCGTGCATTACATTTTGATTATCACGAATATTTTATGAACCCGTGAAAACAAATTTTACGTGCACGAAAATTAACAATTTTATGACACTCTATTAAATTTTTCGTGCACGAGCTGTCTCTTGAATAGCCACTTAATTAAAAAAAAATAAGTTAAAAAATAAACGAATTTTGTTAAAAATTTTAATTGTTAAATTAGCAATCTGCCGCTGTTATGTCGGAAACGATGACTGCCATGAGAGATCCTGTATTCTACAGATGGCACAAAGTGATCGATCAACTGTTCGTCGAGCACAAGCATACCTTGACGCCTTACACCGCCGAAGAGGTGAGCAACGCCGCAATTCGATAAATCGAGTCGCTTTAAATTATTTACAATACCAACGTTACAGCTGACATTCGGAGGAATTCAAGTGACGGGTTTGGAGGTGTGCTCGTACAACGATCAGCAGGTCTGCCGGCAGGACAGAAACGTCCTGCAGACGTACTTCATGCGCAGCGACATCGACATGAGCCGAGGCCTGGACTTCACGCCTCGCGGCCCGATTCTGGTGCGCGTCACCCATCTCAGCCACGACGAGTACGCCTTCACCATTCGCGTGAACAACACCACCGGGCGCAGGGTCATCGGCACCGTGCGCATCTTCATAGCACCGGTCGTCAATAACAAGAGGCTGCCCACCACCCTGGCCGAGCAGAAGACTCTGATGATAGAGCTCGATCGATTTGCCGCCGAACGTACGTGACGCGCGCGTTGCCTTTTTTATAATAAACTTTATTATGCGTTGATTTTAAAAATGAACGATATTTTGTGGGGCCACGCAGTGAGTCCCGGCGCTTCGACCATCGTGAGACGATCGATCGACTCGGGCGTGACCATCCCGTTCAAGCAGATATTCCGCGATCTGAACGCCAACAGGCCCGACGACGACTCTTACAGGGAGTTCGACAGCTTCAATTATTGCGGCTGCGGCTGGCCCCATCACATGCTGCTGCCCAAAGGAAGCCGAGGCGGCTTCGACATGGAGCTCTTCGTCATGATATCGGACTACAGCCAAGATAAGGTGAGCTATATACACATAATGTTCGATCTGTATCATTGATTTTTTTTTACGAAAACAAAAATGTATACGACAGGTCCAAGGCAACGGCGAGCCGGCCCTCGGCGAGTGCAAGACCGGCATGATAATATGCGGCCTCAAGGACAAGTTCTATCCGGACCGCAATCCCATGGGCTATCCGTTCGATCGGGCCATCCGCACGGGCGTGAACACGCTGCAGAACTTCATGACTCCCAACATGTTCAGCGTGCCCGTGAGGATAATGCACGACGATCAGGTGAGGCTTGGCCAGGTCCTGGCCGACCAGAGCGTCTCGATCAAGGACCTGAATCAGGATCTGGTGAACGCCGCTCCACCGACGACCAGCTTCGGCGTTAATCGCGCCACCACGACCGCTAACAATCGCGGGTCCGCTTGACGAGCTGATAATTGTGAAATTACTCTTTATGTGTTTTATTCGAAATGTCCATATGAATTATACTTATTTTGAAGCATCCAAATTCGATCGTTTTATTATTACCAGTACTGAAAAAATTGAAAGACTCCGTTACGTAGAGTTGAGTAAAATCATAAAAAGTAGCCAATTACGTATGAGTTTTTATTAGTTCAGTTTACAAACAAAATTATTATGAATTTTCAACTCATATTTATGCATATATACATTTTTTCGTGTATACAACTCGCTATAATTTTACGAAAATTCTACAAACTTGTTTATGATTAAATAGATTGAATCGAAAGATTCGATGAGTCATCGACGTACCATATTTACATTTAGATAAAATGGTATCGCTCAATTTTTTTTTTCGGTAAAATTTGTCAACAACAACAATTCGTCTTTTTGTGATGCGCATAATTTATAAAATTATCATTTGTAAACTTGAGCTTGAAACTTAGACTCGTTTGCCTATACATTTATATATTATATTGTGCCTCATTATATATTTTTCGTGCCTGAATGAAATATTGCACGATTTACATTCGTAACGCTCGACCACATTTTGGTGTTTTTCTCTTATGTGCTCGTGAAATTCAATTTGTTCCTCAAATCCCTTGAGGCACGAGTTACACCTGAACCGAATGATATCTTCTTCCCTTTCATGAGCCATGCTCTGATTTGACTCCATACGGTTTTCTCTGCAAGCGGTTTTCACTTTTGCCTTCTTGTTTTTGTTACCTTTTATTTCATGAACTATTTTCCGAGGCTCCTTCTTTTTTCCTTTTTTCTTCTTCTCATCGACTATGTTTTGATTCGGCTCAATACGGTTTTCTTCCACACTTTCATGAGCTATGCTCTGATGTGGCTCAATACGATTTTCTTCCTCGCTTTCATGAGCTACGCTCTGATTTGGCTCAATACGGTTTTCATCCTCGCTTTCGTGAGCTATGCTCTGATTTGGTTCAAGATGGGTTTCTTCCTCGCTTTCATGAGCTATTCTCTGATTCGCCCCTGCTTGGCTTTCTTCCCCAAATTTTAGAAACACCATTTGACTTTTCCTCCTTTCCCTTTCTCTCGTGTTACATGCTTGGCTTTCCTTCTCGAGTTTTTCCGCCAATCTCTGACTTCTCTTTATCCTATTCTTCGTGAATCTTTCTCTCGCTGCCCTTCCTTCAAACCGAGCAAGACGCGACCTGTTGAATCTTTCATCAAATTTATCGTAATCCGGATCCTTGTCCGAATTTTCATTCGAAATCTCATCCGAAATCTCATTCGAAATCTTATCCGAAGTCTTATTGACCCGGGCTTTTGATAAATTTCTCGATGGAACGGCTGACGATTTTAAGAGTCGGTCTTGCCCAGGAACGTGTGACGTGTGAAAGTCTGTTTTCTTGAAGTGTCGCGAGCATACCCTCATGCTGTCGCTTACTTTTTCAATTTTCAATGCCTTTTTCCACTTCGTGACTACGTTGCGAAGACGTGATTCCATTCTAAAGGGAAATCTATGGAAAGTGAGGCAATTTCCTTTTTTCGATTTACTTTTACACCCGCTCACGCAACATTTAGAACTCGATTCGGACATACTAAACACTTTTATTGGAGCGTTTAAGCACTTGTCGACTCTAACGAATTGAACGGACTGACGGCTATAAACATTCGACTGTTGACACTTGCCAGGCGACTCTCAGCGTAACTACAATAGTTTACAGAGTTTGTAGCTGTCCTTGAAACTGTAAAATTAATAATATTTTTAGATAAATTTGAAATCGGCCTCGTTTCTTAGGCAACAGTAATTTCAAGTTAGCTTCCCATACGTAGTAATTTTATAAAATTTTATAAATTAGAACGTATTACCAACCCTTCGTAGAAATTCTCAACATTAATGTCTAATGACCAAATAAATTATTGTTTAAAATGTTTTAAAATAGATTGCCACGAATCTGCTTGTTTTTGGTACTTTTTCTGTTAAAATTATGTTACAAATATATTAAGCTCATTTCGAAAATTCAAAAAGTGACGATTCATCTACTTCAAAAAATCTAGTCAAACACTGATATTTTTTTGCGGCAATGCCACTTAACGACTCCACCGCTAGATGGCAAATACCTTTATCACTTAATCTGCAAGCGACAAAGTAATACAATACAATAAATACAATTGTTATCCACAACAATACAATGTGCTCTACAACAATACAATCATTTTTATAATAACAATGTTTCTAATGTCGTTTTCACGATAAAGCATATTTTTCGGCAGTTACTAACTAGACATATGAGTTTGAGCATTCTACCAGAGAACAAAGCAAATCCGTCCGATCGAAAAAACATGTAAACTGTTTAAATTTCTACACGCAGTGATATACTACCAATCTCACAAAATACTCAAGATATCGCTGTACATGATATTCCACATGCGAAAAATACCCCTACTTTGCATATATGAGTGCGCGTGGTGAGCGCTAAAGAGCGACTATAAACGAAAGAAAAAAGAAGAAGTTCCGCAACGAGAAAAAGTGTCGATCGTTGCGGTGTGGCCGCCGTCGTGCGTCTATGCAGGACTATATTCCACAGAGACGAGCTGCAAGAAAGGATATAGTCTTCGGCTCGACTCGAACGTTTCGAGCAGCGATACATCATCCCCTCGAGGGTATTTTTCAACGAAGCTCGGTATTCCGAGTCAACGACCAGTTGAGCTATCGCTCGTGCTCGAGCCCGACACTATTATATGCGAGTTTTAATAAGGCTGTTATTATTATATCGATGCCCGAGACGAAGAGAGAGAGAGAGAGAAAGAAAGAAAGCAGCTCGTCGGGTCTGCCTAGTTTACGCGACAACGACGACGACGACGAGGTCGTCGTCATTTTCCTCATAACAAGTCCGCGCGATCGGCGTGCGTGAAACGAAACAAAGTTATATATACAGCCGCATTCAAGTTGCAAATTAGCAACAGCAGCAGCTTCATGGGCGAGAGATGGACAGGCGCGTGGGCGCGAGAGATCGATGATGCAAGTGCGCCTCGCTGTATATATATGAGCTTATTATTATATATTCGCTCTTTCTCTCTCGTGGCGCCGCTGCGACGTCGTGTCCACTCACACACCTCGATTCATTTTATATAGAGCGTAAGGCTGCACCGGCCAAGGTAAATACCTATACGTCTCGCGACTGCTTTTACCAACCTACGTGTTGCATAGTCGATTTCACGCCATTCATATGGTGATACAGTTGAGCGTGTTTACGCGCTGATTTACTTTTTACAGTTTAAAAGATGAATTTTAGAATATTGAGCTGTTGTGTCGTTCCCAATTACAGAGGCACCATTGCAATATTAGTTACAAATTATTTAAAAATGAAGATTTAGCATGAAATTGAGGAGGCTTTGGTTCACTGGATAATTTATTTTACGAAATCGAAATAATGGATGTATATAAACTCGCCTCCACTCGTCTCGCGAACTTTTTATGAAGATTTTATTGAAAGCTGTATATTCGAGAGGACCTGACAAGAGACCTGATAAGAATAACACGATGTTTCAAAAAACTAAAACTAGTTTTCAATCTCTAAATACGATAGTTTAGATCTCTACCACTAGATGGCGAGTACCTTTATCAGTAAATCTGTAAGTGGCAAATTCAACAAACTGTATAAGTACAAGCATACTTCCGATTCTCAGCATTTTCGAATAAATTCATCAATCAGATTGAATATTTTCATATTTTAATTATTATTTTGATTTACTTATTTAAAGCATCCTTCGTATTTCACGGTACGAAGACCAAGACTCAAGAGGAGGCACAAGCTCGTTCGTAGAAAGCACTCACAACTAAATAATATTAAAATAGAATTTCATAGCACAATACAGATAAGTCATGCGCTCCAAAACTGTAGCGTGCAATGGAAGTTTTACACTCTTATAAATAATCTCCAAAAGCGCATGTCTTATTCCTAGCGGCTTATCGCTATATATCCGGACTGCACCCCAATAATCTTGATTATTTTGCTTTCCACTGCAACCAAGGGCCTCAACTTAATGGTGTAAACACTTCGCCATCCAATGAACCTGTTTATAATTCTCATGGCAAAAATAATCAGTTTATCTGCGAATTTCATTAATTCAGAATGACGATATTATTGTGTGAGGATTATTAAAAAGTCAGATCTGAAGAAGATATGCAAAAAACTTTGCTTGAACAACTACAGGTAACCAAGTAGCCAAATTAAAACACCACCATGACAATGAACACAAGGGGAGTTATGATAGTTGATAACACGTTGATGAAGTTCAGAGACGGTACCATCATTTCGGCACAATTTTTATTGAAATTTTAGAAAAACAAGTGCATAAATATTCATACATATTTACAATTGTCAGACATAATTTCTTCTCACCACTGTGGCATGCTTAATCTTTGCGACATTCGTGTACCGTCCTTTGGTGCACAAACAATTTTGATTTTTGTCTGAATTTCTTTTCGCACTTGTCGCATGCATAATATTTAAGACCTTCGTGTATTCTCTCTTGGTGCCGAAGCAAATCTGTTTTTATTCCAAATTTTTTCTCACACCTGTCACATGCAAAATCTTTCCGACCTTCGTGTACCGTCTTGTGGTGGGTAAGTAAATTACATTTGAGTCCGAATTTTTTTTCGCATTTCGCGCATGGATAGTCTTTGCGACCCTCATGTACTGTCTTTTGATGGTGAAATAAACCCGATTTTTGCGTAAATTTTTTCTCACACTTGTTACATGCGAAATCTTTCCGACCTTCGTGGACTGTTTTTTGGTGTATTTTCAAATTGTTTTGAATCCCAAATTTCTTTTCGCATTTGTCACATGCATAATCTTTGCATCCGTCGTGTCTTATCCTCTGGTGCCTAAGCAATTGCACTTTTTGTCCAAAATTTATTTCACACTTGTCACATACGAAATCCTTGCGACCTTCGTGGACTGTAATTTGGTGCCTGAGCAATTGCTGTTTTAGTCCGAATTTTTTCTCGCACTTGTTGCACGCGAAATCTTTGCAACTTTCGTGTACTGTCTTTTGGTGCCGCAACAAATCTCTTTTTATTCCAAATTTTTTCTCACACCTGTCGCATGCAAAATCTTTCCTACCTTCGTGTACAATTTTTTGGTGAGAGAGTAAAGACGATTTTTGTTTAAATTTTTTTTGACAATTTTCGCATGCGTAATCTTTCCGACCTTGATGGATTGTCTTTTGGTGGATGAGCAAAGTCGATTTTAGTCCAAATTTTTTTTCGCACCACTCACATGCGAAATCTCTGCGACCCTCATGGGCGATCTTCTGGTGCAAAAGCAAAGCACATTTATATCCAAATTTTTTTTCACAATTGTTGCATGTATAATCTCTACGATTTTCATGTACTATCTTTTGGTGGTAGAGCAAACTCGGTTTTCGTGTAAATTTCTTTTCACACTTCTCACATGTGAAATCTTTGCGACCCTCGTGGATTATTTCTTGATGTCTGAGCAGATGTGATTTTTTTCCAAAATTTCTTTCGCATTCGTTACATAAGTAATCTTTGCAACCCTCGTGGACTGTCTTCACGTGTATGAGTAAACTTCGTTTATTTGCAAATCTCTTGGCGCACCTTTCACATAAGTAATTTTCGAAAACTTCGTGGAATATTTTTTTGTGGTTAAGTAAAGATGATTTATTTTCAAATTTCCTTTCGCATTTGTTGCATGTGAAATTTTCGCGATCTTTGTGTACTAATTTTTGATGCGTAAATAAACTCGATGGTTTCACAAATTTTTTCTCGCATTGGTCGCATGGAAAATCTTTGCGGCTTTTATGTTCTGATATTTGGTGTCTGCTCAAATGACTTCGGAACTCAAATTTCTTCTCGCACTTGTTACATGTGAAACTTTTGCTACCTTTATGAACTAATTTTTGATGAGTAAGTAAAGTCGATTTTCTCACAAATTTTTTCTCGCATTGATCGCATGGAAAATCTTTGTGGCTTTTGTGTACTGACATTTGGTGTCTACTCAAATGACTTCGAAACTCAAATTTCTTCTCACACTTGTCGCATGTGTAATTTTTTTGTTTTTCGTGAATCGTATCTTGGTGGATTATCAAGCTCGATTCTAGAGTAAACTTCTCCTGACAAATATCACAAACATATTTTTTGCCACTTGAATTATCTTGAGAGACAACTTCCTCGGCTTGTCCATCACTTTTACACATTTTTGTACTTGAAATAAGCAAAAGATCCTTCTATTTAGGGCCACAAATTGAATGAGTAAAATTTAGCTTTTGGTATTATCGCTTGATTTTCATACCAATTTGATTTTACTATAAACATGGTCAATGTTTGAGGGACTATTTCAAAATCATTTCTCAGCATATTGTTGACAATTAAGCTAACGATTTATCCGTTTTACAATTTGTTTACAATATTTGAATTAGGTGACGATTTCTTTGGAGAAAGCTCGCCTTCAACATCGAGCAATTTTGATTAAATATGTTAATATTCATTCCCTCGAATTGGCCTCGACTCGCACTGCCTCAGTAGACAATCAAATTTAATCGAACCGAATTTATATTTCAAAGGCAAAGAATTATCAATCGATCGCCGTAATCGTCGCCTCGAGAGGCTGCTGCATTTCGCGCGCAAGTGCACGGACACACACA